CTGTGTCCAAAAACAAGCTACAAATGGACAGTACCAAAACAAATTATCTAATGATTCTGTCTCTTCGCAGCAAAATCTGCAGAGCTGGGAAGATTGTATCCCCCATATAAATAACATTCTATTGGTAGCAAGAATTGTATATAATTTAAATTGAAAAAATCTGAGTTTTGAATCCGGCGTCGTTTTGCGTATCAGTTCATAAACACTATGGAATCGGTACGTCAAAAATCTCTTCCCAACTATTTTGCAATCTATATGGGACGTCTGTCAATCCTTTGGTCCTTAAATGAAACTGGTATACTTATTTATTTATCACCATTTTCTTTAGCCAATTATGTTCTTTAATGCAAGACCGACAGACAAGTTACTTACTTTTTACCCCTTCCACTTTCCTCTTCCATTTTTGCGGTAATAGAGCAGACATTTCCATATGTTTTTGTTAGCTGCATGTGCGACATAACTCCACCAATCCTACCTATGATATCATTTACGAAGATTATACCTTTTTTTTAACCATTTTGTCAAAAAATAATATTTTTTTATCAATTCTTATATTTGAGTTTAACCACAATATTTGTTGCATTATTTGTTCTGTCATTTCTGGAGGATTAAATTGAAATTGCAACCAACTTTCTGTGGCTTGTTTTAGAAATAGTGATATTTGGGAGTTTATTTCCTATTCAAATATCTGAAAGTGAGAGGTTGTAATCTGAATAAAGGGAAAAAGGCCGTTCTTGAACATTGGGTGAGACAATCTTACTAATTTGCTAGAGAACCAGTTCGGATTTAAGTATAACTTTTGTATGACCGAAGCTTTTAGTAATAGGTCTAATGCTTTATTATTTAATAATTTCTGTCCTACGAAATCATATTCATTATATAAATAGGCCCGTTTAATTTTGTGTGGCTTGCCGTTTCAAATAAAGTGGAATCTTTTTTTCTCATATAATTAAAAAAACTGTTTGCTAGGCGTAGGCAAGACCATAAGCAAATAGGTAAACTGGGATAATGCTAAAGAGTTAATCAGGGTGATTTTTCCACAAATTGACAGGTATTTACCTTTCCATGGTAGCAAGATCTTATCTATTTTTGCTAACTTTCTATAAAAATGTATTGGAGTGAGATCATTTATTTCATTTGGGATATGTATTCCGAGTATATCCACATCACCATCAGACCATTTTATTGGTAAACTAAATGGTAATGTAAAAATTGTATTTTTTTATGATCCAATACGTAATATAGTACATTTATCATAATATGGTTGTAATCCAGAGAGGTTAGAAAATGTATCTAGATCCTCTGAGGCTGTGGAGGGATTCAAGTTGTGGATTTAAAAGAAAACATGAATCATCAGCGTACAATGACACCTTTGTTTTTAAGCCCTGGATTTCTAATCCCTTGATATTATTGTTGGATCTGATTTTAATAGCTAACATCTCGATGGCCATAATAAATAGATATGCCGATAGTGGACAACCTTGTTTCACTCCCCTTGACAGTTTAAAACTTTCGGAGAAATAGCCTTGGACCATGTTAGTTTGTTGGTGATGTGGACACCAAGGAACTTGACGCTCTCAACCTGCTCCACTACAGCCCCGTCAATGAGAATGGGGGCGTGCTCGGTCCTCTTCTTTTTCCTGTAGTCCACAATCATCCTCTTTGTCTTGATCACGTTGAGGGAGAGGTTGTTGTCCTGGCACCACACGGCCAGGTCTCTGACCTCCTCCCTATAGGCTGTCTCATCATTGTCGGTGATCAGGCCTACCATTGTTGTGTCATCGGCAAACATAATGATGGTGTTGGAGTCGTGCCTGGCCATGCAGTCATGAGTGAACAGGGAGTACAGGAGGGGATTGAGCACACACCTCTGAGGTGCCCCCGTGTTGAGGATCAGCGTGGCGGATGTGTTGTTACCTACCCTTACCACCTGGGGGCGGCCCATCAGAAAGTCCAGGATCCAGTTGCAGAGGGAGGTGTTTAGTCCCAGGGTCCTTAGCTTGGTGATGAGCTTTGAGGGCACTATGGTGTTGAACGCTGAGCTGTATTCAATGTATAGCATTCTCAAGTACAGTGGGGGAAAAAAAGTATTTAGTCAGCCACCAATTGTGCAAGTTCTCCCACTTAAAAAGATGAGAGAGGCCTGTAATTTTCATCATAGGTACACGTCAACTATGACAGACAAATTGAGAAAAAAAAAATCCAGAAAATCACATTGTAGGATTTTTAATGAAATTATTTGCAAATTATGGTGGAAAATAAGTATTTGGTCCCCTACAAACAAGCAAGATTTCTGGCTCTCACAGACCTGTAACTTCGTCTTCTATCCTCCACTCGTTACCTGTATTAATGGCACCTGTTTGAACTTGTTGTCAGTATAAAAGACACCTGTCCACAACCTCAAACAGTCACACTCCAAACTCCACTATGGCCAAGACCAAAGAGCTGTCAAAGGACACCAGAAACAAAATTGTAGACCTGCACCAGGCTGGGAAGACTGAATCTGCAATAGGTAAGCAGCTTGGTTTGAAGAAATCAACTGTGGGAGCAATTATTAGGAAATGGAAGACATACAAGACCACTGATAATCTCCCTCGATCTGGGGCTCCACGCAAGATCTCACCCCGTGGGGTCAAAATGATCACAAGAACGGTGAGCAAAAATCCCAGAACCACACGGGGGGACCTAGTGAATGACCTGCAGAGAGCTGGGACCAAAGTAACAAAGCCTACCATCAGTAACACAATACGCCGCCAGGGTCTCAAATCCTGCAGTGCCAGACGTGTCCCCCTGCTTAAGCCAGTACATGTCCAGGCCCGTCTGAAGTTTGCTAGAGTGCATTTGGATGATCCATAAGAGGATTGGGAGAATGTCATATGGTCAGATGAAACCAAAATAGAACTTTTTGGTAAAAACTCAACTCGTCGTGTTTGGAGGACAAAGAATGCTGAGTTGCATCCAAAGAACACCATACCTACTGTGAAGCATGGGGGTGGAAACATCATGCTTTGGGGCTGTTTTTCTACAAAGGGACCAGGACGACTGATCCGTGTAAAGGAAAGAATGAATGGGGCCATGTATCGTGAGATTTTGAGTGAAAACATCCTTCCATCAGCAAGGGCATTGAAGATGAAACGTGGCTGGGTCTTTCAGCATGACAATGATCCCAAACACACCGCCCGGGCAACGAAGGAGTGGCTTCGTAAGAAGCATTTCAAGGTCCTGGAGTGGCCTAGCCAGTCTCCAGATCTCAACCCCATAGAAAATCTTTGGAGGGAGTTGAAAGTCCGTGTTGCCCAGCGACAGCCCCAAAATATCACTGCTCTAGAGGAGATCTGCATGGAGGAATGGGCCAAAATACCAGCAACAGTGTGTGAAAACCTTGTGAAGACTTACAGAAAACGTTTGACCTGTGTCATTGCCAACAAAGGGTATATAACAAAGTATTGAGAAACTTTTGTTATTGACCAAATACTTATTTTCCACCATAATTTGCAAATAAATTCATTAAAAATCCTACAATGTGATTTTCTGGATTTTTTTTCTCATTTTGTCTGTCATAGTTGACGTGTACCTATGATGAAAATTACAGGCCTCTCTCATCTTTTTAAGTGGGAGAACTTGCACAATTGGTGGCTGACTAAATACTTTTTTCCCCACATGTAAGTGTTCCTTTTGTCCAGGTGTGAAAGGGCAGTGTAGAGCGCAATAGAGATTGCGTCATCTGTGGATCTGTTGGGGCGGTATGCAAATTGGAGTGGGTCTAGGGTTTCTGGGATAATGATGTTGATGTGAGCCATGACCAGCCTTTCAAAGCACTTCATGGCTACAGACGTGAGTGCTACGGGTCGGTAGTCATTTAGGCAGGTTACCTTAGTGTTCTTGGGCACAGGGAACTATGGTGGTCTGCTTGAAACAGACCACCATTGTCTATGTTGAAATTTGGTTACCATGATGACATAATCCTGTGGTTGACATTTCACCCTGAAAACAACCGTTTACCTTGATGACCTTTTTCAAATCCAATGTATTGTCCACGTAGATTCTACGTCCCAATAAGTTGACAAAATAAGTTGAAACGCCGTTGATTCAACCAGCTTGTGCCCAATGAGCAGTGTGTTGATTAGCCTCAAACCACATCACGTTACTGTCTTTACATCACCTGTCACGGCCAGTAAAATGGCCAATCTGGGATTTCAAATAACAACAAAGGAGACTCCCCATTGTTTTTGATAAACAACTGAGGGATGGGACTTGAGAAATGTAACCACTCCTAAATTCATAGACAGAGCTATGACTGCAAGGCCATCCATGAGATCAAATATGATAGTTTAGCTATGTTTTGAAGCTACACAGTGTTTGTTTACAATTACATCATTTACAAACAATGGAGTAAAACAGGCTTATATTTTGGGTTCTGAAGGAGTAATACAGTTGAACCAAGCTCATGAGGCATTTATAACTTATATTCTTCAAGAATCAAGTCCAGAAATGGATGGACCAACCCAGATTGCTCCTTTAAATGCATGTTTACAACATTTAATCCTGAGTTGATGGGACTGATATTATAATTATAATAATTTTTTATGCATCATGTTAAAATCATCAATAAAGTGACTTAATCAATTTTAGATACTTTCAGATGATTTGGACATGATGCACGAAAAATGCTAATATCAGTCCAACGACTTGAATGGGATTTATGCTACAAATGCTAAAACGTTAGCATTCGGAAACATTGCCAGGGAAACTAAACTAAAGCATGGATTGCTGTCATACCTTGTCCGTAGACTGCTTACAGGCTAAGGAAATCAACATGGAATTTTGTCATTTGGGTGAACTGTCCCTTTACGAAGCACCTTCAATACCAGTGATCCAGTTAAGCAAAGTTATTTCTGGGTCCTGGGCGACAGTACTTCTAGGTCTCAGGAAGGCAGTAGCGATGCACTTAGCCATACACTACATTGATATGGGACTTTCTTTTGTCTGGCAATGTATAGGACCCAGAGTTACAGAAGGTGGACATTGTGGACCTGACAGATGTCAACGGAATCCCATCAATGCAAAATCCTTTCAAAATCCCTCTAAAACCAAAGTAAGTGGTATCTACAACACAACATTTGACATCACACTGTTAGTCATGATTCAGGATGATAATATCGGTTGTATGTATCATTAATGACAGTACATACTGTGCGGTCCATGTCATAGGTTAGGTATCTGGAGAATTGAAGCTTCTTACCAAGATGAGTTCACCACAATAAACAAAGCTGAATTTGAAGTCAAAGAATACGGTAACTCAACAAGAAACATCGATTGTGATTGATGATTGAATTATACTTTTGGGGGGGTCACCTCCCACCAAGTCACATTGATTTAGACACTTTTGAGTCTTAACTGTTGAGTCTAACTATGCTTTCTTTATTATTAGTATTACCCAGCCTTTCCATCCACATGCAGCCACAGGCTAGCTACATCAGTTTCGGTACTTTTGAAGCTTTTAAGATCAAGATATCTGCCAGGTGGGTAAAAATAACAGTCTGTCTGATCATTTTAACCTACACTGTTGCATTAATTCTTGATTAAGTAAAGTCTTGTCTTATCCCTTGTCAGTAGTCAGGGCGGTGCTACATTATCTTGGATGATATTGAGTTTCTTTGTTATTTGTGCTGTGTATCAGGTATATTCACGGTGCTCCAGTTGCAAATGCAGAGGTATTCCTACGGTTTGGATACATTGGGACAACAACTGTCATCCTACACAAATCAGTGAGAAGAGAGCAAGTAAGAATGAGTTATGAGTAACAAGTTATGTTTGTGTGGTTGGGTGTGTGTGTCAGTGCACTATACATGGATTTATTCTAATTTATGAGTGAGAGAAAGAAGATAGTGGGTTCGAGTCCCGCTGGGGCCACCCACACAAAAAATTTATGCACATATGACTGTAAGTCGCTGTGGATAAAAACGTCAGCTAAATATATATTATTATATTATTACATGATATTATTGTTTTCCATTGGTCTTCAAGGGCCACTGGGGTTTGTAAGCAACATTGTGATCAAACATTTCAGATGAGTGAAAGTGGCGAAGTGGAGGTGAACATAAACATGAAGAAAGCTCTATCACTTGATGATGGACCCAAAGAACTAGAGGAGATGGTGGGAAAGTTCCTGTATGTGGCTGTGATGGTACAAGAGCCAACTGGTGAGAGACGCACAGTGTAGGCCCGCCTTGTTGCACACAAACCTACAATATTGACAATAATAAGTCATCTATATGATGCATCTAAGATTTGTTCACTTTGATCTAGGGTTTGATTGATCATTCAAAGTAGATCATTGCATTATTGGGAAATGATTGCATCATTTAGTTTAGCAGGAACATATTATCACTCTATTTTTGATCAGACACGGTTCTTTTCAATCTCTCTAGGTGGTATCTCCCAGGAAGCTGAGATGGCCAATGTGAAGTTCTTAAAGTCCCCGTACAGCCTGAGTCTTGTCGCTACTCCTCCTTTCATCAAACCAGGACTACCATACACTATCAGGGTAGGGCACCTCTATAGCCTTGTTCACATTGACAGTTTGCAGTGACTCAAATCCCATTTTGTTGCATATCTGACTAGAATCTGTTCTTTTTCTTGTAGTCTGAATAGCCAAAAACACATGGAATCAGATATTTCAAGCCTAATTTCAAACCACCTTCATAGGTGGTTTGAAATCAGATACAAATCTGATTCCTGGCCATGCGACATGTGTCTGAATGGTCAAATCAGATTTATTTGCCCTCAAGTGATTTTTAGACTGTTATTTGGCATATCTTGATGCTTGCTAGCTACTCTTTGACAGTTCCCAACTCCTATGGTCATTGTTCCGCCAAACATGACAGATCTGGGACCAAGCTACCTTTTATGCACGAATTGAAATACATTAAAATAGCAAATTAAGTAGACACTGAATATATCCTTACTGTAAGATCATTTACATCTACTGTACAGAAGTTAATATAATTAGAAACAAAGGTGCTAAGTAGAACCATATAGGGTTCTTCGGTTTGTCCTCACAGGGGAACCCTTTTTGGTGATAGGTCAAACTTTTTGCATATGGTTCTACCTAATGTAGAACATTCTATGTAGGGTTCTTCATAGAACCCCCTTTAAATGGTTCAACCTAGAACCCTGTATGAAGGGTTCTGCCTAAAACCCTCTACGATGGTTCTACCAAGAACCCTTTTATCCTCTAACGGTTCTTCCTAGAACCCTCTATGAACGGTTCTACCGAGAAACCTTTTATCTTTGAAAGGTTCTTCCTAGAACCCTCTATGAATGGTTCCACCAGCCTTATTAGTATTTAAAATTCAAGTCTTTATGATAATACCTTACATATCATAAGGCCTTTCTTTGAGTGCCTAGTTATAACCTAACACAGTGGTTTTAGGAAACTCCTGGTTTACAGGCCACATTAGGCCAGCAAGTCATATTATGCTGACTTCCAAAGTGATGTGTAATTCCTATTGGAATCCAGCCAGAGTGAGGATATCCAACAATTGGAACTATTAATCACCTGCAACCTGCGTTAAAGATATTCTCCGGTACTTTTTTATACTTTTAAGGCAGTAGTTCTGAAAGTAGCGTCCACGAGACAAAAGTGGTCCCCGAAAATTGCATACTACGTCACAAATGTACAGAAATGTGCACCACGTCAATGCTCTCTCTCGCTCTACTGTGTGTGCATCTTGCTAGCTGTCACTCAAATGTCGAGGAGCTGAAGCTCATTGGCTGAAACTCAAATTGCTAGGGGCTGGCCCAAGTGGGGGTAAATGTAAGGAAAATGGCGCCACACAGCTTCCAGAAAACAGACACTTTCAATTTAGGGATTTCCTGGCTAATTAAGGTAAAACAGTCATTCTGCTCATAGATTATGCATGTATGAACTACACATTGACACATCCAGCCCAAAGCAGGAGGTTTAAAAAATACGTATTAGTCGCCAAAGTACCGGAGCATGTCTTCAAGAATGACTGCAAGGATAGAGAAGATTGATTAGTTAGTACCTAAATCATTTAAACTTGAACAACCATCTCAGTAACGGGTGCAATAAGTCCAACTACAAACAGATTGGATTAGTTTAGAAAAATGTACGTTATTTATCTTTGTGTAGCATAACATTAATCAACCAACCAATGTACATGCAAAAACACACATTTTGAAACAAACAATTCTAAAAATCAATGTGCAATAGAGCATGCTGGGAAACATAATAATGATGGTTGTGATTTTGAGTGTTTTACTATACCACTCATACTCCCTTCTATTCCCTTACTCTCTGCTCAGTAAAATCATAGAAAATACTCATTTAAAAGACAGAAATCATGGCAAAGATACCAACTATGCAAGTACTGTATATGCACAATTATTAAGGGAAGACCAGATAAATTCAAAAATATTCCCATATACAGTAGGTAAAGTTTAAAACATTATCACACCAATCTTTTTAAATGTATCAGATTACTCAAACTCCTGATGTTAAAGTTTAACACTGAGGTAACACTAATGCTCAGGTATTATTTAAAAGAAAGAAAAATAATTATAATAAAAAAGCTTATTCAGATTCAGAAGGGTTCTACAGTGCCTTCAGAAAGTATTCACACCCCTTTGTGTTGTTGTGTTACAGCCTGAACTAAAAATGTATTAAATTGAGATGTTTTTGACACTGCCCTACACATACCCCATAATGTAAAAGTGGAACTATATAAAGAAAAGAAAAATGAAAAGCTGAAATGTCTTGAGTCAATAAGTATTCAACCCCTTTGTTATTGCAAGCCTAACTAAGTTTAGATGGAAACATGTGCTTAACAAGTCACATAGTAAGTTGAATGGACTCACTCTGTGTGCAATAATAGTGTTTAACCAGATATTTGAATGACTACCTCATCTCTGTACCCCACACATACAATTATCTGTAAGGTCCCTCAGTCAAACAGTGAATTTCAAACACAGATTCAACCACAAAGACCAGGGAGGTTTTCCATTGTCTCGCAAAGAAGGGCACCTATTGGTCGATGGGTACAAATTTAAAAAAGCAGATATTGAATATCCCTTTGAGCATGGTGAAGTTATTAATTACACTTTGGATGGTGTATCAATACACACAGTCACTACAAAGATACAGGCGTCCTTCCTAACTCAGTTGCCGGAGAGGAAGGAAACTGCTCAGGGATTTCACCATGGCCAATGGTGACTTTAAAACAGTTACAGAGTTTAATGGCTGTGATAGGAGAAAACTAAGGATAGATCAACAACATTGTAGTTACTCCATAATACTAACCTAATTGACAGAGTGAAAAGAAGGAAGCCTGTACAGAATACAAATATTCCAAAACATGCATCCTGTTTGCAACAAGGCACTAAAGTAATACTGCAAAAACTGTGGCAAAGCAATTCACTTTCTGTCTTGAATACAAAGGTTTATGTTTGGGGCAAATCCAATACAACACATTACTGAGCACCACTCTCCATATTTTCAAGCATAGTGAATGTTCCCGAGTGGCTGAGTTACAATTTTGACTTAAATCTGCTTGAAAATCTATGGCAAGACTTTAAAATGGTTGTCTAGCAATAATCAACAACCAAGCTTTGCACACCTGGATTGTACAATATTTCCCCATTATAATGGGAAAATATTGTACAGTCCAGGTGTGCAAAGCTCTTAGAGATTTACCCAGAAAGACTAACAGCTGTAATCGCTGCCAAAGGTGATTCTAACATGTATTGACTCAGGGGTGTGAATCTTGTGTAAATGAGATATTTCTGCATTTCATTTTCAATACATTTGCTAAAATTATGGTGTATAATGGGTGAGATTATTTTTTTTCCCAATCAATTTTGGATTCAGGCTGTATCACAATAAAATGTGGAACAAGTCAAGGAGTTGAATACTTTCTGAAGGCACTGTATCTACAGTGAGGGAAAAAAGTATTTGATCCCCTGCTGATTTTGTACGTTTGCCTACTGACAAAGACACGATCAGTCTATAATTTTAATGGTAGGTTTATTTGAACAGTGAGAGATAGAATAACAACAAAAATATCCAGAAAAACGCATGTCAAAAATGTTATAAATTGATTTGCATTTTAATGAGGGAAATAAGTATTTGACCCCTCTGCAAAACATGACTTAGTACTTGGTGGCAAAACCCTTGTTGGCAATCACAGAGGTCAGACGTTTCTTGTAGTTGGCCACCAGGTTTGCACACATCTCAGGAGGGATTTTGTCCCACTCCTCTTTGCAGATCTTCTCCAAGTCATTAAGGTTTTGAGGCTGACGTTTGGCAACTCGAACCTTCAGCTCCCTTCACAGATTTTCTATGGGATTAAGGTCTGGAGACTGGCTAGGCCACTCCAGGACCTTAATGTGCTTCTTCTTGAGCCACTCCTTTGTTGCCTTGGCCGTGTGTTTTGGATCATTGTCATGCTGGAATACCCATCCACGACCCATTTTCAATGCTCTGGCTGAGGGAAGGAGGTTCTCACCCAAGATTTGACGGTACATGGCCCCGTCCATCGTCCCTTTGATGCGGTGAAGTTGTCCTGTCCCCTTAGCAGAAAAACACCCCCAAAGCATAATGTTTCCACCTCCATGTTTGACGGTGGGGATGGTGTTCTTGGGGTCATAGGCAGAATTCCTCCTCCTCCAAACCCGGCGAGTTGAGTTGATGCTAAAGAGCTCGATTTTGGTCTCATCTGACCACAACACTTTCACCCAGTTCTCCTCTGAATCATTCAGATGTTCATTGGCAAACTTCAGACGGGCATGTACAGTGGGGAGAATAAGTATTTGATACACTGCCGATTTTGCAGGATTTCCTACTTACAAAGCATGTAGAGGTCTGTAATTTTTAGAAAAGCAGAACTTAATATTTGGTACAGAAACCTTTGTTTGCAATTACAGAGATCATATGTTTCCTGTAGGTCTTGACCAGGTTTGCACACACTGCAGCAGGGATTTTGGCCCACTCCTCCGTACAGACCTTCTCCAGATCCTTCAGGTTTCGGGGCTGTCGCTGGGCAATATGGACTTTCAGCTCCCTCCAAAGATTTTCTATTGGGTTGAGGTCTGGAGACTGGCTAGGCCACTCCAGGACCTTGAGATGCTTCTTACGGAGCAACTCCTTCGTTGCCCGGGCGGTGTGTTTGGGATCATTGTCATGCTGAAAGACCCAGCCATGTTTCATCTTCAATGCCCTTGCTGATGGAAGGAGGTTTTCACTCAAAATCTCACGATACATGGCCCCATTCATTCTTTCCTTTACACGGATCAGTCGTCCTGGTCCCTTTGCAGAAAAACAGCCCCAAAGCATGATGTTTCCACCCCCATGCTTCACAGTAGGTATGGTGTTCTTTGGATGCAACTCAGCATTCTTTGTCCTCCAAACACGACGAGTTGAGTTTTTACCAAAAAGTTCTATTTTGGTTTCATCTGACCATATAACATTCTCCCAATCCTCTTCTGGATCATCCAAATGCACTCTAGCAAACTTCAGACGGGCCTGGACGTGTACTGGCTTAAGCAGGGGGACACGTCTGGCACTGCAGGATTTTAGTCCCTGGCGGCGTAGTGTGTTACTGATGGTAGGCTTTGTTACTTTGGTCCCAGCTCTCTGCAGGTCATTCACTAGGTCCCCCCGTGTGGTTCTGGGATTTTTGCTCACCGTTCTTGTGATCATTTTCACCCCACGGGGTGAGATCTTGCGTGGAGCCCCAGATCGAGGGAGATTATCAGTGGTCTTGTATGTCTTCCATTTCCTAATAATTGCTCCCACAGTTGATTTCTTCAAACCAAGCTGCTTACCTATTGCAGATTCAGTCTTCCCAGCCTGGTGCAGGTCTACAATTTTGTTTCTGGTGTCCTTTGATAGCTCTTTGGTCTTGGCCATAGTGGAGTTTGGAGTGTGACTGTTTGAGGTTGTGGACAGGTGTCTTTTATACTGATAACAAGTTCAAACAGGTGCCATTAATACAGGTAACGAGTGGAGGACAGAGGAGCCTCTTAAAGAAGAAGTTACAGGTCTGTGAGAGCCAGAAATCTTGCTTGTTTGTAGGTGACCAAATACTTATTTTCCACCATAATTTGCAAATAAATTCATAAAAAATCTTACAATGTGATTTTCTGGAGAAAAAAATTCTCAATTTGTCTGTCATAGTTGACGTGTACCTATTATGAAAATTACAGGCCTCTCTCATCTTTTTAAGTGGGAGAACTTGCACAATTGGTGGCTGACTAAATACTTTTTTCCCCCACTGTAACATACTAATAAAAAGACCAAATCAACTAAATCAAGTACAAGAGGCATGCAGATAAAAGAAAATGCGATTTAAAAAATATATAATTTTCATTTCATTCAATTTCATTTATATCGCCTATATTGTAGGGTTCTTCCTGATGGCTACAATACACAAAGAAAGAACATTGAGTTACAAAAGTTTAAGAATGTACTTAAAAGTACTAACACATTTAATAATATCAAAACTTACTGTGAAGAATGGTCTTCAGAAACAAGTCCCTGAAACAGGCCTTCTCACCGGCCACAGTCCAGGTAGTGGCGATGGCAAGGTAGCATCTGCCACACTGGCGACTTCAGGTCCTTGGCACCCAATACAGCCAGAAACCTAAGCTACAAAATGCAAGAGAAGTATTATAAATTACACAGTATGTTCACATATTTCCTCCCTCACCCCCTATATTTTACATACATTTATTGTGACAGTCTGTAAAGACAGATGGCAGATATTTCCAATACGTATTTACATTTAAGTTGGTAACAGTTAGCTATGTTCTTACCTTGATGTCTGCGGCCCAAACCTGGCAACGTTGACCCATTGTAGTGTCTGACTCCTGGCCCTGTTTGTAACAATAATGTCACATTTAAAATTAAGTAAATACTGTGCAAGAAAGAACAGAGAGGCTAAGTGAATGTAACGTTTACATACCTGTGGCATCACTACAGTCACTACAGACCCAGGTTCGAGCCCGGGCTGTATCACAACCAGCCGTGATCGGGAGACCCACAGGGTGGCGCACAATTGGCCCAGCGTCGTCTGGGTTAGGGGAGAGTTTGGCCGGGGTAGGCCGTCATTGTAAATAAGAATTTGTTCTTAACTGACTTGCCTAGTTAAATAAAGGTTAAATAAATAAAAATACCTCCATGGCTATCACATCCACATGGTGCTGTGGTGAATACAGTGCATTCGGAAAGTATTCTAAAATGGATTAAATAAATGTTTTCCCTCATCAATCTACACACAATACCCCATAATAAGAAAGCGAAAAAAATTTTTTTTTTTGTGCCAATGTATAAAAAAGAAAATAGATACCTTATTAAGTATTCAGACCCTTTGCTATGAGACTCGAAATTGAGCTCAGGTGCATCCTATTTCCACTGATCTTCCTTGAGATGTTTCTACAACTTGATTGGAGTCCACCTGTGGTAAATTCAATTGATTGGACATGATTTGGAAAGGCACACAGCTGTCTATATTAGGTCCCACAGTTGACAGTGCATGTCAGAGCAAAAACCAAGCCATGAGGTCGAAGGAATTGTCCGTAGAGCTCAGAGACAGGATTGTGTCGAGGCACAGATCTGAGGAAGGGTACCAAATAATGTCTGCAGCATTGACGTTCCCCAAGAACACAGTGCCTCCATCATTTTTAAATGGAAGAAGTTTGGAACCACCAAGACACTTCCTAGAGCTGGCCATCCGGCCTAACTGAGTAATCGGGGGAGAAGGGCCTTGGTCAGGGAGGTGAACAAGAACCCGATGGTCACTCTGACAGAGCTTCAGAGTTCCTCTGTGGAGATGGGAGAATCTTCCAGAAGGACAACCATCTCTGCAGCACTTCACCAATCAGGAATTTATGGTAGAGTGGCCAGACGGAAGCCACTCCTCAGTAAAAAGCACATGACAGCCCGCTTGGAATTTGCCAAAAGGCACCTAAAGGACTCTCAGACTATGAGAAACAAGATTATCTGGTCTGATGAAACCAAGATTGAACTTTTTGGCCTGAATGCCAAGCATCATGTCTGGAGGAAACTTGGCACCATCCCTACGGTGAAGCATGGTGGTGGCAGCATCATGCTGTGGGGATGTTTTTCAGAGGCAGGGACTGGGAGACTAGTCAGGATCGAGGGAAAGATGAACGGAGCAAAGTACAGAGAGATCCTTGATGAAAACCTGTTCCAGTGCGGGGCGAAGGTTCACCTTCCAACAGGACAACGACCCTAAGCACACAGCCAAGACAACGCAGGAGTGGCTTCGGGACAAGTCTCTGAATGTCCTTGAGTGGCCCAGCCAGAGCCCAGACTTGAACCCGATCTAACATCTCTGGAGAGACCTGAAAATAGCTGTGCAGCGGTGCTCCCCATCCAACCTGAAAGAGCTTGAGAGGATCTGCAGAGAAGAATGGGAGAAACTCCCCAAATACAAGTGTGCCAAGCTTCATACCCAAGAAGACTCAAGGCTGTAATCGCTGCCAAAGGTGCTTCAACCAAGTACTGAGTAAAGGGTCTGAATACTTATGTAAATGTGACATTTCCGTTTTTGTATTTTTTATACATTTGCAAAAATGGCATCGAGAAAAATTTACTCTCAAACTAAAAATGTTGCTTAGGGCCCCCAACAGGCTAGGGCTGGCTCTGACTACATGTGTGTATGACTGTTGCCCCACAAGATGAGTTCGGATTCAAAGACAGGTTTGTAACAAAGATAACTTCCTGTTGAAGGTTTTTAAACTTCTTCTGTGGGGTTTAAGAGGTGCCGCCACCTACTGTTCGTAGTGATAAACACTTTTCTTCAAGTGGGTGAGACGGTTTAGGGAGTGGCATTATTGCTAGAAAGGAACCATTGGTATTGCCTCGAAAATATAGTATATTAAAGCAATGGCAGTAATGTAGGCTATTTTGGGGCATAATCAATATATCATTAATCTACTTAAACTAAATTATTAGGTGTATCACATTTTTTGTCATGATTGATGATTTTAAATGCATTATGTCCACATCTGGTTGTAATTGGTGTTTTTTGGCAAATAAATCTAATCCAATTAAAATCACAATAAATATAAGGTATTTATAGAAACAACAAAAACAGCTTGCAGTCTCTGGCTGGCTGTGGTTAGCTGGAAAGTGGCAGGCCAAATTTGAGATTAGAGAAATTCCTTGCTATTGTCTTTCAAGTTTTCTCATGGCTAGATGGCTTGCCTAGGGCTTATAGCTGTCCTCTGAGTGCAGGCTAAACGGCATAGATGCAAAAGCGGCCTGCTAAGGGCTTATAGCGGCCCAACGAGTGAGGGCTACACGCCAGAGATGCAAATCACATCTTGAACTGCAAACTCCGGTCGCCCCCACTGGTGGAAGGAATTTATAGCCTTGGGCGCCGAGTGACGTCAAAGTCCATTGCTTCAGAACGACAAACATCCGGAACGTTCAAAAATACTTTGCAAACTGTTGGTTTAAAATTCATATTGTTTATTTTTTGGGGATCAAATGTTAATAAATAGAATGAAAAATAATATTATGGTGCCTGCAGAAGGGTTTCCTTCTTCACCATCCCTTGTTTCATATACACCCTTTAAAGGTTCATGGTAGAACCCTTCGCCTTACAAAGCAGCCTTGTCTTCCAAAAAGGCTTCTTCAGATGAAAACGGTTCATGGTAGAAACCTATCCCACTGCAAATAACCCTTTTGGAACCCTTTTTTCTAAGTGTGTATGGGGGTTCTGCCACCAGGTGTCAGTCAAGGACCATTTGGGGGAGCCTGTGCCACGGGTACCAGTGAGGTTGGTGAATTCCTTCACCAAAAACAAACTTGGTGTAGACCAGAAACCTCCGTGTCCTGTACTGACAGCGGATAACAGTTATAGAACCAATTACGATGGGATTGTTCTTTTCATTTGCAACCTTCCTTCAGAAGCTGAGAGTGCAAGATTTATCGTAAGTACCAGTGTGGCTTGAGTATCATTAAATGTATGTTTAAGTAAAGGCAGCTTGGCATACATCTATTTTTATATATATATATTTCTGGAGGTATTTTGACACTGTTTAGACAGGGAGTTGGGAGAAACAGATTGAAGGGTTGGAGCCGGGATTGAATCCCAGTCTCCAGTAGGGGAGGGAGTTTAAATGTGTCTAATCCAGTCACGTTATCGTTAGACCACAGGCTCTGCACATGCCACACATCTATTGATTGCTCTCTTTTCTATTGGTGTTGTGAGGCTTGTGATAGAATGCATGTAATGCTGTAATATTGTTTTAGTTCAAGACTGCTGATGAGCGGTTACCCTCCGGTAGTCAAGCTGAATATACATTTGAAGCCAAGGCATACTTTTCCCCCAACGAACGCTACTTGTACATTGATTTGCCGTCCGATTACTCCGGCCTTCAAGTTGGACAACATGTCAACCTTCAAATCTACTTCCATGCTCGCAGCTACCTCCAAATTGAGACTTTCAGCTACCAGGTAAGTGATAGTTTTCTAGTCATACAGTGCCTATAATAAGTATTCATCCCTCTTTGGCTTTTTCACATTTTGTTTTGTTACCAAGTGGGATTTAAATTGGTTTCATTGGGATTTGTTTTCACTGATTTACACAAAATACTCAATTTGGTCAAAGTAAAAAGAAAATGATTTGCGTAAAAAAAAAAGTTATATAACAAAACAAAAAAATAACTCAAAATGTTCTGTAATTCTAAAATGTTACCTCTTCCTGACCTACCTATCTGACTTCTATGCCAGATCATCTCGAGGGGGAAGATAGTGAAGTTTGCTTCTGAGAAGCATATCAAAGATACAAGTTCCCAAGCCATTAGTTTCACAGTGACCTCAGACATGGTGCCATCGATACGCCTGCTGGTCTACTACATACTATATGGGGAGAAGACGCCTGAGCTGGTTGCCGACTCAGTGTGGATAGACGTCAAGGACAAATGTGTCAATGGACTTAAGGTACGGTAGCTCCGCCTCCACCACAACCCATTCAAAACTCTTGATTCCTGTTCGTATTGTCACATGTAACTGTGAATAAGCTGAGAATCCACAGAATATTTGTATTTTCCCAATGAGCATACCCCATCTTTATTCATCAGAACATTTTCTGTTTGTTTATCTCTTAGACAGAGCTCTCATTTCGTAAGAAGAATTACAAGCCTAAGGATGAACTGGTATTAGAAGTGAAAACTGGGCAGGATTCCCTGGTGGCCTTATCTGCTATTGACACTGCTGTCTACTCACTTAGAGCCCCACTCCAGGACCCAGTGACAAGAGTAAGACCATTCAAGACTCAGAAAACACACAGCAGGCATGCTTAACTTGTTAGATAAGAAAACATTATTGTCCATTACATAAAAAAAAAAAAATGACATATGTGTTTGGCACTCTGAGTTAAAAGATGCATACAGCATTACATACAGTGTACAGGTTAGTCCAGCAAACTCTTGTTGAGCATGGTTAGTGCTGAGGGGATGAATGGCGTTTTCTATGGTGAATGGAACCTTAGTAATGGGGGATTTATTGATAAATATGAATATCCTGCCGACTACGCCAAATGTAACACTGAAGAACTGAACTGGGCACATTTCATAGAAAGCACAAAGCCGGCCCGTACAAGGTGAGGTGACAATCATTGTCATTTTCTTCTCTAGGTGCTCCGCCATATCGAGCAAAGTGACCAAGGTTGTGGAGGAGGAGGTGGCAAAGATAACGCTGATGTCTTCCGTCTCACAGGACTCACTTTTATGACCAATGCAAATGCTCAGGCTTCCCAATCTGAAGGTAATCTACAGTATCTGTCAAAGTCTGCGTCATAAATGGCACCCTAGTCCCTTTGGTCTAAAGTAGTGCACTATAAAGGGAATAGGGTGCCATTTCAGACGCAGCTAAAGTCGAGGAGGACTGGAGAACATGGAAGTGCCATTGAGAATAAGCCTCCTTACACACACTTGTATCCATGTATGTGCCCTCCATCAGATGACACATGCACTGCTTCTGTGAGACCAAAGCGCGCCCTCTCTTATGACCAACAGAAAGAGAAAGGCAAGTAAATAGTGAGCTAACTCCCCATCACAACAAATGTTGTTTTTATTCTAAATGTTAAGCAGAAAAACCTGTACTTTGTTTAGATAAATAAGGGCCCTAACTGTGTGTCTGTCCCACAGCCAAACAATATGGCAGGAATTTTAACTGCTGCTGGCAGGGATTGCGTCAAATCCCAACCCTGGATACCTGTGCTCACCGTGCCAATAGACTTCAGGTTCAACAATCCAGTGATGCGAAGAAGTGCCGTGCGGTGTTCACTGAGTGCTGTGATTACAGCCTAAAGCTTCTCCAAACCAGTAATGATCATGTCTTGGCACGTGTTGGTGAGTGCATATTTTGGATGGCAATCACAGCCCCTATGATTAAGTTGACACAAAACGTATTCTTGTTAATGTGATATTCCCTGCATCCCAATAATCTATCCTTTCTCCCAAAGTGTGCGTTTGTTTACTTCCTTTCATGGATTGGTATAAGAAATATGATACAAATGCTTTTAAATATGTGCGAAGGTGGCACAAGTGCACACTTTATGAGAAAGTATAGATTATTGACACACACTGGTTGAATCAATGTTGTTTCAACGTAATTTGTCAACGTATTGTGACAAGGAATCAACATTGAAAATATATTGGATTTGAAAAAAGTAATCAACCAGAACTGTTTTAATCTCATTTCAACCAGCGTTGTAAACATAGAAATTAGGGTAAAACTTAAACTTTAATACATTGACTTAACGTGACTAACAGGTTGTTACATCAACCTAATTTCAACATAATCATCAGAACTATGTATACGTTGAAATTGTGTTGAAAATTTCACATAGAATTATTTATTTTTTAAATCATCCTATACTCAATATATTGGGTGGTTGAAATTATGTTGAATTTCATATTTGATTATGTGACCCACCACCTGGATTCGGTCCTATTTAGCTAAATTTGAAATGGTGTATTTTTCATTGGATAAAAGTAGAGAATCCGAGCTATAAAATGGTATATCATACACTGCAGTTTGTCACACTCTGGTTCTAGGACTTTTTGTGTTTAGTCAGGGTGTGTAGATTTCCGTGTGTTGTGTACTGTGGGTAGTGTCTAGGTGTTCGCGTTCTATGTTTGGTCAGTGACTCCCAATCGGAGGTAACGAGTGTCAGCTGTCGGCTCGTTATCTCTGATTGGGAGCCATATTTAAATGTCTGTGTTCACCTTGTGGTTGTGGGTTTTTGTTCATTGTTCAGTAGTTGTCACTGAGGACTTCACGGATCGTGTTTTGTTTTGTCGTGTGTTTCAAAATTAAAATCATCATGTTCACTCCCAACGCTGCGCTTTGGTCATACTTCATTGGCGATCGTGACAGAAAAACCCACCACAACGAGACCAAGCAGCAGTTGGATAACGAGTGGTGGAGCCAGAAGAGCGAAGGTTGGGAGAGGACTATGGAGGCCTGGTCCACCGAGAGGAGAGACCCCCAGAAAAAATTTTTGGGGGGGCTCACGACGTCGGGGCAGAAGGTGTACGGCCCGGAGGAGTGCAAGAGGTTGGCAGATATGGCCGCCAGTTTAAGGGGGCCACTGGTTACGAAGGGGATGGAAAGTGTGGAGGCACGGCGAGAGGGACTGGGGGGTGTTTCCAGTCCGGTCCGGCCCGTTCCTGATCCCCGTGTAGGGCCAGGGGTGTGTGTCCCCAGTGCGGTTCTGTCTGTCCCTGCTCAACGCACCAAGCCTACGGGGTGCGTCGCCAGCCCAGCTCGGCCTGTTCCTGCGCCCCGCACCAAGTCTGTGGTGCGTTTCGCCAGCCCAGCCCGGCCTGTCCCTGCTCAACGCACCGAGCCTACGGGGTGCGTCGTCAGCCCTGTCCAGCCAGAGCCGTCCGCCAGACAGGATCAGCCAGAGCCTTCCGCCAGACAGGATCAGCCAGAGCCTTCCGCCAGCCATGAGCAGCCAGATCCTTCCGCCAGCCATGAGCAGCCAGATCCGTCAGCCAGCCATGAGCAGCCAGATCCATCAGCCATCCATGAGCAGCCAGATCCGTCAGCCAGCCATGAGCAGCCAGATCCGTCAGCCAGCCATGAGCCGTCCAGCCAGGATCCGCCAGAGCCGTCCAGCCAGGATCCGCCAGAGCCGTCCAGCCAGGATCCGCCAGAGCCGTCCAGCCGGGATCCGCCAGAGCCGTCCAGCCGGGATCCGCCAGAGCCTTCCAGCCGGGATCCGCCAGAGCCTTCCAGCCGGGATCCGCCAGAGCCGTCCAGCCGGGATCCGCCAGAGCCGTCCAGCCGGGATCCGCCAGAGCCGTCCAGCCGGGATCCGCCAGAGCCGTCCAGCCGGGATCCGCCAGAGCCGTCCAGCCGGGATCCGCCAGAGCCGTCCAGCCAGGATTCACGCGCCAGGCCAGGGGCGCGTGTCGTCAGTCCGGTTCCGGCCGGCGGGGCTGGGCAGGACCGGGGGTACTTTGGGGGGTTGGAGAGGAAGTGGGGAGGAAGCCCGGAGCCGGAGCCGCCGCCGAGGAGGAATGCCCACCCAGCCCTCCCCTGTTTGCTTGTAGTTAGGCGCGGTCGCAGTCCGCGCCTTTGGGGGGGGGGTACTGTCACACTCTGGTTCTAGGACTTTTTGTGTTTAGTCAGGGTGTGTAGATTTCCGTGTGTTGTGTACTGTGGGTAGTGTCTAGGTGTTCGCGTTCTATGTTTGGTCAGTGACTCCCAATCGGAGGTAACGAGTGTCAGCTGTCGGCTCGTTATCTCTGATTGGGAGCCATATTTAAATGTCTGTGTTCACCTTGTGGTTGTGGGTTTTTGTTCATTGTTCAGTAGTTGTCACTGAGGACTTCACGGATCGTGTTTTGTTTTGTCGTGTGTTTCAAAATTAAAATCATCATGTTCACTCCCAACGCTGCGCTTTGGTCATACTTCATTGGCGATCGTGACACAGTTGAGGAACAATGAGAGAGTACAGTGAAGGAAAAAAGTATTTGATCCCCTGCTGATTTTGTACGTTTGCCCACTTACAAAGAAATTATCAGTCTATAATTTTAATGGTAGGTTTATTTGAACAGTGAGAGACAGAATAACAACAACAAAATCCAGAAAAACGCATGTCAAAAATGTTATAAATTGATTTGCATTTTAATGAGGGAAATAAGTATTTGACCCCCTCTCAATCAGAAAGATTTCTGGCTCCCAGGTGTCTTTTATACAGGTAACGAGCTGAGATTAGGAGCCCACTCTTAAAGGGAGTGCTCCTAATCTCAGCTTGTTACCTGTATAAAAGACACCTGTCCACAGAAGCAATCAATCAATCAGATTCCAAACTCTCCACCATGGCCAAGACCAAAGAGCTCTCCAAGGATGTCAGGGACAAGATTGGAATGGGCTACAAGACCATCGCCAAGCAGCTTGGTGAGAAGGTGACAACAGTTGGTGCGATTATTCGCAAATGGAAGAAACACAAAATAACTGTCAATCTCCCTGGGGCTCCATGCAAGATCTCACCTCGTGGAGTTGCAATGATCATGAGAACGGTGAGGAATCAGCCCAGAACTACACGGGAGGATCTTGTCAATGATCTCAAGGAGGCTGGGACCATAGTCACCAAGAAAACAATTGGTAACACACTACGCCGTGAAGGAATGAAATCCTGCAGCGCCCGCAAGGTCCCCCTGCTCAAGAAAGCACATATACAGGCCCGTCTGAAGTTTGCCAATGAACATCTGAATGATTCAGAGGAGAACTGGGTGAAAGTGTTGTGGTCAGATGAGACCAAAATCGAGCTCTTTAGCATCAACTCAACTCGCCGTGTTTGGAGGAGGAGGAATGCTGCCTATGACCCCAAGAACACCATCCCCACCATCAAACATGGAGGTGGAAACATTATGCTTTGGGGGTGTTTTTCTGCTAAGGGGACAGGACAACTTCACCACATCAAAAGGACGATGGACGGCGCCATGTACCGTCAAATCTTGGGTGAGAACCTCCTTCCCTCAGCCAGGGCATTGAAAATGGGTCGTGGATGGGTATTCCAGCATGACAATGACCCAAAACACACGGCCAAGGCAACAAAGGAGTGGCTCAAGAAGAAGCACATTAAGGTCCTGGAGTGGCCTAGCCAGTCTCCAGACCTTAATCCCATAGAAAATCTGTGGAGGGAGCTGAAGGTTCGAGTTGCCAAACGTCAGCCTCGAAACCTTAATGACTTGGAGAAGATCTGCAAAGAGGAGTGGGACAAAATCCCTCCTGAGATGTGTGCAAACCTGGTGGCCAACTACAAGAAACATCTGACCTCTGTGATTGCCAACAAGGGTTTTGCCACCAAGTACTAAGTCATGTTTTGCAGAGGGGTCAAATACTTATTTCCCTCATTAAAATGCAAATCAATTTATAATATTTTTGACATGCGTTTTTTCTGGATTTTTTTGTTGTTATTCTGTCTCTCACTGTTCAAATAAACCTACCATTAAAATTATAGACTGATCATTTCTTTGTCAGTGGGCAAACGTACAAAATCAGCAGGGGATCAAATACTTTTTTCCCTCACTGTAATTCTGCTTTGAAAGTTGATAAACTTTCAACCCCACTTTTGAGAAAATGGCCCGTGAATATTTTGGTACACCTACTGGAGAGTTCATCTTTGTCTATACCCATTCAGCATCGTTCACACCCTCTTAAGCCTTAGCACCACCCATCTCTTTAAGGATTCACAGTGTGGTAAACAACCAAAGATTGCAAGACTAAAAGTGGTGAAAGTAGTAGCAAAAAGTAGTAGTAAAAATAAACGTTATCTAGTCCTTGACCTATATCCTAATCTGACTTTGGTGCAGGTCATGTTGTTCTTCACATTACCGTCTCTAGTAGACACACACTTTATCAAATAAAATCTATGTTTATTTGTCACATGCACAGGATTCAGAAGGTGTAAATGGTACAGTTAAATGGTTACTTGCATAGTAGAGTATTTTGTTTAGTAATTTAGCTAGCTAGCTAGCTAGCTAAACAATTAACCATAATCCCAACTCTAATGCCGCGTTCAAAACAACTGGGAACTCCGATAAAAAACAAACTCCGACTGGGAAAAATCGCTTTCAACGGTCATCCAACTTGGAATTCCAACTCGGGAACTCTGACCTCTTTCTAGAGCTCCTACACAGATCATACACGTAACGTTAGCTAGCGAGGCAGCCAGCTAACGTTTGCTAGCTAGCTAACAGTACGCTTTAACTTGCAATGAAAACAACTTTCTGACAATATTAGAAACTTATAATATTTGAAAATGTAGCTAGACACTTACCCGTATACATGGATGAACGTTTCTCCCTCTGTCATGGATGCCATGGTTGCCCTTAGTTTGAAGATGTAATCCGGAGACAGGTGTTTTATACAACAGCCTTCTTTCTGTGTTCTTTTTTTGGACTCTCCACATTTGGCAATCATCTCTCTGCATCCACCGGGCATTCCACTGATTTCAAAACCCAGTCAACTTCTTCCGTGACAATGACACCGTTTCTTCCCCACCATTGTCATCAGAAGACTCTACAATGTCTGGTTCAATGAAAATGTTTTTACATAAATCAGGGATTTCCTCATTGTCTGATTCATTTTCAGTCAGAAAGAGTCAGCATGGCACGATCATCCTCCAGAAAGTAGTCCATCAGAACATTTTCCCACTGAGCTTTGTCGATAGCGCTATTAACTTCAGGGAAGCAATGTTGAGAGCAGTAGCAAAACTTTTTCAGTTCTTTATGATATATTTTTTTTAAAGCTGCGTTAGACAGGATTATCCACACATACTTAGCAGCTCATGTTATAGCCAAAAGCATGCTCCAAACTCATCTCTCGGCATGTCCAGCCCATCCATTATCTCAGCCAATCATGGATAGCAGGAAGGTTCCTGTATTTTTCCCTGGCTAAACCAACTAGGCTCGTTATTTAACAATTGTATTCGTATTTACAGATGGCATACAAGTTTGTTATTAAGGCATATGAAAGTTAATATGTTTCAGAAGGCAATTCTGCCCAAAACTGTATTTTGATTATTAATTTTTTTACGTTCAAATGCCTCTCCTGTGAAGTAGTGACGTGCGACATACACCTAGTTTCTTGAAACTGGTCACACATTTGATTTGCCCTTTCAATGTTGATAGTAAAATGTTTTTTTTAAATCCATGTCATTGTTTCAACGTCAACCTTGAAATATAATGTGAAGCCACAGTCCAACGATTCCTGCCTGGACATTGACTCCTACTGGTATATGAGAGGTAATGCACTTCAGTGAGAACTATGTACTCTGCTTAACTTTGGAAACAAGCAGTGTTCGATTCAGCTGAGCTATCATGTCAACACATTTAGACATTGATCAGCTTCCACACTAATTTGCGTACACTACATAAATAACATTGAATAGTTGAAAGTAACTCCTCAAACTTTTCTTACACAAGCTGTATGTGAAAGTTAATTCGGAGTGATTCCATATCACAATACATTGACAAATTACGTTGAAACAACGTTGATTCAACCAGTGTGTGCCCAGTGGGTAGTCCCTGTTCTGGTCCTGTGCATTTTGTTGTGGTCCTATTCTGGTTCACAATGGTCCTGGAGGGCAGGGAGCTCCATTGTATCATCAGCAAACTTAATGATGGTGTTGGAGTTGCAGGTGAACAGGGAGTACAGGAGGGGACTAAGCAGGCATCCCTGAGGGGCCCCCGTGTTGAGGGTCAGCGTAGTTGTGTTTTAACTTACAATCCCTGCTTTTTCTATGCAGAGATGGCTATTCTCTTTGACCTGATGCCCACTCAGATACGCAGCTACTTCCCAGAGAGCTGGCTATGGGAAGTACAACCAGTCAGGTGAGAAAAACAAAGGTTCTTGGCATAGCATAGAATCAAAATGAATTTAATTAACTTAAAAATATAAACACACTGTAAATGCAATATATCTTCTTACCCGGAAGAGATGTAATATATGGAACATTAAGGTTGACAATTCATGCAAAGTAAGTTACTTGAGAGACAATACTGAAAGACAGATTTAACATGTGTATTCTCTATGTTCATTGAATGTACTGTTATCTAACCATGTCTAAAAGGGGAGTGTGCTAGCCCAGTGGCCCTTGTGTCTTGGTTGACCTGAGGCCAAGTAAGTGTGTTACTGTTGTAATCAACCAGGTCAGGGCAGATGACCTTGAAAAGAAATCTCCCAGACTCTCTGACCACTTGGGAGATTAAAGCTGTTGGCGTGTTCAAGGAGGGTAAGTTGGTGAACAAACACTGACGCCTAGCACCACCCACAGGAGAAATGTGGTACATTTACCACAGTCATTCAACACACCAAGCCACTATACATAGAAATCTTGTTTATTTTTTCATCCATATAACAGCAACTATCTTTGCTGGAGTCCTTAGCCACTGTTCTACACAATCAGTTGTACCCCTTTCACACATCGTGCCAACCCGAACCGTACCATGCAGGCTCTGGTATTTTGTCTACACATTGTCCTTTCCAGCACAGTACCAGAAACGATGGTAGTTGTCATAGCCGAGGGAAGTAGGGGTGCTGTGGGTGATGCAGCCCCTGATAGATCACTATATATATATATATATATATATATATATATATATATATATATATATATATATATATATATATATATATATATATATAAATTGTGCTCTAGGCCTTCATCACTCCTGTAGCACTCCTGTATGAGCTACATGGCCCCCCGCTGCCATTGTAGTTGTGTAGACAGGCCAGCAAAGCTTGGCTCAAAACAGTAATGTGAATCAACCCTTGGTCACCACAGTTTTGTTGTTAATGTTTTTCTCATTCTTCCCAGGGCGCTCAGGGATCTGCGTGGCGGACCCCATCAAGGTCCCAGTTACTCAGGCAGTGAGTGTAGATGTGCCCCTGCCCTATTCCATGGTGCGTGGAGAGCAGATCGAGCTGCGAGGCTCCGTCTATAACCAGGCAGAAGAAAATATTAAGGTGAGGCCAGTAAAAGAGGTTCTATTGAAATGCATTGGAAATTAAAAAATTAAACCTGTCATTATTTATGTCATTAGGATTGAAAACGTTTATCATATAATGCATATTTTGAGGAATTTATGATGTGCTTGAAGTGGAATGAAATAAGTGCCAGTACTTATTTTGGGTGCCGGTACTCATCATATTTTTTGTTAAGCCAATATTCTATAAGAGGTGACGGTACTCAAGCAGTCAAAAATGGAGTTGCTGGTATTCAGTACTGGTGCATACCTGCCCATTTTAAGCACTGATTTACTTACATCTTACTGCTTCCATTCTTCTTTCTGTCTGTATCATCCATGGCTAGTATTGTGTAACTCTGACCGCTGGGCCAGGAGTGTGCCTGTTCCAAGGGAAACCAACGAAAGATGACGGCATAAAGACTACCAGCTGTGACAAGACCACTCTGTTGGAAAGCGGCTCAGTTGGTCTTGTCACCTTCACTCTCATGGCCTTAGAAGTGGGGAGTCACACTCTCACATTCACCTTGCGCACTGACAAGTCGACGCTCAACGACCAAATTGTCAAGACGATCCGTGTAGTGGTAAGCTCATAGACAACTAGTTCAACTGCTGCTACTTCAGCACTTAACTCTACTAGAACGAGCGTCATCCCCACCATTATACAGTTGCGAACCCTCTGGTATTATTGAGGATATGACAAAACAAAAGGGGTGATGATGAGGCAAAATGGAAATGACACAAAATGCATCATCATCACACTTTTAGATTTTTACTAAGTGCTCTATCTTGAAAACTGATGACATGCAAACATTTGTTGGACTGCATCGACAATAGAGGACCAATTTTTAAAAAATAACGTTTTTTTTTTTTTCAGTAAACTATCTCTTTAACATCTTTGCAACTACTTAATGAATATTGTGATTACATACACAATATTTTCAGTATATTATGTGCAGTATATGACAGTCTGATGTTTTAAGAGCTGTGTATTATCTGTCTTTTCACCAGCCTGAAGGCATCAGGACCGAGGACCTCAGTGCAGGAACACTGGACCCACAAGGTCTTTATGGTATGGGCTCAATGCTATTTCACATTAGTGCTGGGACACAACATCGGCAGTATGTGTATTGGTTGGACTCCCTGAGTTGTGCATCGTTTTGGTGTGTGGTGAAGAAAAATAACCCTACCACAATATATATAAAAACTTTTCCTGTCAACAAAGGCATATGTATAATCTCTAATAATCTCCATTATTATGAGCCGTCCTCCCCTCACCAGCCTCCTGTGGATCATCTCTCCTAAACAATAAATATGCCCTCTGTAATGCTGGGCTGTCTTTTCTGGGAAAAACAAAACAAATGGATGAACAAAGCATTCCATTGGATGCACATGCTCCACACATAGACATTAGAGTTGTTGATCATTGTTGATATCATTTCTCCTAACTGCTGATGTATGTTCTGTGTTGTGTGTATCAGGCCCCTCCAGCAGGAAGGTAGAATTCAGTAATAACATTCCTTCACAACTGGTGCCTAAGACCTCTGTGGAACGTCTCCTTATTATTAATGGTATTCTATTCTATTTGATTCTATTCTAGTGTAATGATATGGTATGCTACAGAGGTTGCCCTGTGATATCTATTTGTTTTCTCAAACGTGGTAGAACTTCACCAGCAGAAATGATACAAATGTGTATAATTTCTGAAACTGTACAATATCAAATGATTGATCATGACTTTTAGTTCATATCAATAAGTTGTGCCGTATGATTTGTGAATTGCACCACAGTTGCTCTTTATTTGGCCTAAATGAATTGTAGAAATCGTAATCTCTTAGCCTAATCTTACCTCATTATCATAATCTTTGTTATTGTATCTAATTGTTGTCACTCCTTCATTTTCCTCCCTCTCCATCTTGCATTTAAATGAGCCTGTATCCTCCTCACCATGTCTTTTAGGTGAGATTTTGGGAGAGGTGCTGGCTATCTTGAACAACCCCGATGGCCTGCGCCAGCTTGTCAAACTACCCAGAGGCTCCGCTGAGGGCGAGATCATGAGAGTCCTCCCCATCTACTTTGTCTACCACTACCTGGAGACCGCGGGCCGTTGGGACATCATGGGCCCCGAGAAACACAACAGTCCCCTGGAACTTAAGGGGAAGATCAGAGAGGGTGTGAGATTCAATCTGATTGTGTACTCTTATTTTTACTATTATTTTTTTTTTTACACTTATTGTTTCTCTAAAATACAAATGTGAACACAACATTACATTACCTATTACATTACCTATCCTGTTCTACAGGAACATGTTGTTTTGAATCCCTTGTTGCTTCTATGTTGCTCCTTTGTTTGCCAAGTCCTCCTTGCAAAAAAGTTTCCTAACTTCAACATTTGGTTAAACAAAGGTTCAATAGAATTGTAATATTTTTGTTTCTTGATCTTTGAATTGGTGTTGCTCAATTGTGTTTTTTTGTTCTGTATCGTTAAGGCATCACAAGCATCATGTCTTTTAAGAGGCCTCGTGAATTTAGTTACAGCATGTGGAAGGACAAAGAGCCTAGTACATGGTGAGTCTGCTGCTTGGTATAGGGTTGTACAGACAGATTCTGGTCCAATACTGTGTGCTGTAGCCAACTCCTCTATCATTGTCATGCCACAGGCAGCCAGTCCAATTAGTGGAAAACATTTAAGAATTGGGCTGCCTGTGTAAATGTAGGCAAAGATGATGTTTTGTCATCTTTCTGTTGTGCTTCTTGCTGCCAGTCAGCACATATATACAGTATGGGCCAACAGCCAGGCTAGAGGAAACTCAGGGCGCTGTGTCATGCACCTTACCTTGTTGTCTTGTTGTGTGACCGACTCTCCTGTAGGTTAACAGCTCTTGTGGTGAAGACTTTGGGACAGATGGACAAATACGTCAAAGTAGACAGTCACATGTTGTCTAACTCCATCTCCTGGCTGATCGACAAGGCTCAAAATGAGGATGGTTCCTTCCGTGAATTCACCACCTGTCCCAGAGTACAGGGTGCAGGTGTAGATGCCGTGGATCAATCAGTCTTCTTGACATCCTTCGTCATGATTGGAATCAAGACCGCCATAGAGGTGGAAAACTGTGGCTTGCTGGTGAGGCTATAGCAAGTGTGGAAGTAGGCTATCAAATATAGGCTCTAATCTATTTGTAAGTCGCTCTGGATAAGAGCGTCTGCTAAATGACGTAAATGTAAATGTAATATTTTCAGTATCATGTGGTAACCTAGACCTGTGTGATTATCCTCAGGAGTTTAGTGAGGCTCTGAAACGTGCTGCAGTCTACATCTCTGATCATGCTCCCCGGGTGAAAAGCCTGTATGCAAGAGCTGTGGCTGCTTATGCTCTCACACTGGACGACAGGAACAGCATGCAATCCGTGTTCCTGTATGATAGCCTTGAGAAGCAAGCCAGGGAAGGAGGTACGAAGTGATATGGAATCTGAGGCGAAAGTTACTGGATACAATCTAGAATTCAATGTAGAACATACTGTAGCTCCGAATTATCAGTATAATCTTGTGACGTCTGTACTCTTGTGTCTCCTTGTGAAGAAGAACCAGTGAAATATCGCTACTGGCGTGAGAAAGACGCCAGTGTGAACCCGCTAAAGCCTGACAAGGCATCGGCCCAGACCGTGGAGACCACCTCCTACGTCCTACTCACAGCCTTGATCAAAGGCAAACACAGCTACGCCCAGCCCATCATCAACTGGCTGACCCAGGACCAGCGCTACGGAGGGGGCTTTCACTCAACTCAGGTTCCATAGCAATACTAACACAGACCTGGTATCAGATAGTATTTAATTTACTTTCAAATACTTTGAGCGTTGGATTGAGCCTGCCTGTACGAAGTGTAAGATGGGCAGGGTTTGAATGTTAGGGACTATTCCATTGGTTACATTGCGCTAGACCGGCTCAATCAAGCGCAGTTAAAGTATTTGAAAGAAAACTATTTGAACCCAGGTCTCACAATACATAATATGACATGTACATTATAGCCTGCTGCCAAGGGTTCCAGCCCTAAATGACAAATGAAAACATACCTGTGTTGAATCCTATGACCTAGCTACAGTGAGCTCCAAAAGTATTGGGACAGTGACAATTGTTTTGTTGTTTTGGCTCTGTACTCCAGCACTTTGGATTTGAAATGATACAATGACTATGAGGTTAAAGTGCAGACTGTCAGCTTTAAGTTGTGGGTATTTTCATCCATATCGGGTGAACCGTTTAGAAATTACAGCACTTTCTGTACATAGTCCCCCCATTTTAGGGGACCAAAAGTGTTGAGACTCATTAACTGATATGTTTATTAAAGTAGTCCAAAGTTTAGTATTTGGTCCCATATTCCTAGCACGCAATGATTACATCAAGCTTGTGAGTGTTCAAACTTGTTGGATGCATTTGCTGTTTGTTTTGTTTGTGTTTCAGATTATTATGTTCCCAATAGAAATTAATTGTAAATAATGTATTGTCATTTTGGAGCCACCTTTTTACATTTTTCATTTGAGTCATTTAGCAGACGCTCTTATCCAGAGCGACTTACAGTTAGTGAGTGCATACATTATTTTTTTATTTTTCATACTGGCCCCCCGTGGGAATCGAACCCACAACCCTGGCGTTGCAAACGCCATGCTCTACCAACTGAGCTACATCCCTGCCGGCCATTCCCTCCCCTACCCTGGATGACGCTGGGCCAATTGTGCGCCACCCCATGTGTCTCCCGGTTGCGGCCGGCTACGACAGAGCCTTATTGTAAATAAGAACAGAATATGTTTCTAAACACTTCTACATGTGTGGTCCTCTGTAGCTCAATTGGTAGAGCATGGCGCGTGTAACGCCAGGGTAGTGGGTTTGATCCCCGGGACTACCCATACCTAATAATGTATGCACACATGACTGTAAGTCGCTTTGGATAAAAGCGTCTGCTAAATGGCTTATTATTATTATTACATGAATGTGGATGCTATCTTGATTATGGATAATCCTGACTGAATCGTGAATAATGATGAGTGAAAAAGTTAGAGGCATAAATATCATATCCCGCCCAAAAATGCTAACCTCCCATTTTACTGTAATGGTGAGAGGTTAGCATGTCTTGGGGGTATGATATTTGTGCATCTGTAACTTTCTCACGTATCATTATTCACAATTCATTCAGGATTATCCATAAACATCGTAGCATCCACATTCATGTAGAAGTGTTTAGAAACATATTCTATTCTTATTTACAATAAAAGTGGCTCCAAAATGACACAATACATTATTTACCATTAATTTCTATTGGGAACATAATAATCTGAAACACAACCAAAACAAACAGCAAATGCATCCAACAAGTTTGTAGAGTCAGAAGCTTGATGTAATCATTGCGTGCTAGGAATATGGGACCAAATACTAAACTTTTTACTACATTATTAAACATATAAGTTAATTAGTCCCAATACTTTAGTCAAATCCAAAGTGCTGGAGTACAGAGCCAAAAATAATAATAATGTGTCACTGTCCCAATACTTAGAGCTCACCATATATATAATATTTATGGGATAATCAACGAGGGGCAATGCATTCTATGGAAAATAATGCATGAAGTGGAAGGTGTGTGCCACTTACCTTCCACCGAGTTGCATTATTTTCCAGAGAATGCATAGAGCCCCAAGTTGATTATCCCGCTTATCCTAAGGCTATTATTTGCTGATAGAAATGTGTTCAACATCCACTGAAGTACAGTGGGGGAAAAATGTATTTAGTCAGCTACCAATTGTGAAAGTTCTCCCACTTAAAAAGATGAGAGAGGCCTGTAATTTTCATCATAGGTACACGTCAACTATGACAGACAAAATGTACGTCCAGAAAATCACATTGTAGGATTTTTAATGAATTTATTTGCAAATTATGGTGGAAAATAAGTATTTGGTCAATAACAAAAGTTTCTCAATACTTTGTTATATACCCTTTGTTGGCAATGACACAGGTCAAACGTTTTCTGTAAGTCTTCACAAGGTTTTCACACACTGTTGCTGGTATTTTGGCCCATTCCTCCATGCAGATCTCCTCTAGAGCAGTTTTGTTTTGGGGCTGTCGCTGGGCAACACGGACTTTCAACTCCCTCCAAAGATTTTCTATGGGGTTGAGATCTGGAGACTGGCTAGGCCACTCCAGGACCTTGAAATGCTTCTTACGAAGCCACTCCTTCCGAAGCCACTCCTTCGTTGCCCGGGCGGTGTGTTTGGGATCATTGTCATGCTGAAAGACCCAGCCACGTTTCATCTTCAATGCCCTTGCTGATGGAAGGAGGTTTTCACTCAAAATCTCACGATACATGGCCCCATTCATTCTTTCCTTTACACGGATCAGTCGTCCTGGTCCCTTTGCAGAAAAACAGCCCCAAAGCATGATGTTTCCACCCCCATGCTTCACAGTAGGTATGGTGTTCTTTGGATGCAACTCAGCATTCTTTGTCCTCCAAACACGACGAGTTGAGTTTTTACCAAAAAGTTCTATTTTGGTTTCATCTGACCATATGACATTCTCCCAATCCTCTTCTGGATCATCCAAATAAACTCTAGCAAACTTCAGACGGGCCTGGACATGTACTGGCTTAAGCAGGGGGACACGTCTCGCACTGCAGGATTTGAGTCCCTGGCAGTGTAGTGTGTTACTGATGGTAGGCTTTGTTACTTTGGTCCCAGCTCTTTGCAGGTCATTCACTAGGTCCCCCCGTGTGGTTCTGGGATTTTTGCTCACCTTTCTTGTGATCATTTTGACCCCACGGGGTGAGATCTTGCGTGGAGCCCCAGATCGAGGGAGATTATCAGTGGTCTTGTATGTCTTCCATTTCCTAATAATTGCTCCCACAGTTGATTTCTTCAAACCAAGCTGCTTACCTATTGCAGATTCAGTCTTCCCAGCCTGGTGCAGGTCTACAATTTTGTTTCTGGTGTCCTTTGACAGCTCTTTGGTCTTGGCCATAGTGGAGTTTGGAGTGTGACTGTTTGAGGTTGTGGACATGTGTCTTTTATACTGATAACAAGTTCAAACAGGTGCCATTAATACAGGTAACGAGTGGAGGACAGAGGAGCCTCTTAAAGAAGTTACAGGTCTGTGAGAGCCAGAAATCTTGCTTGTTTGTAGGTGACCAAATACTTATTTTCCACCATAATTTGCAAATAAATTCATTAAAAATCCTACAATGTGATTTTCTGGAGAAAAAAAATCTCAATTTGTCTGTCATAGTTGACGTGTATCTATGATAAAAATTACAGGCCTCTCTCATCTTTTTAAGTGGGAGAACTTGCACAATTGGTGGCTGACTAAATACTTTTTTCCCCCACTGTATGTGTTAAAATATAGCTGTGGTGTAAGTCGGATAATCAACTCATGGCTCTATGCGTTCTCTGGAAAATAATGCAACTCTGTGGAAGGCTAGTGTCAATCTGCTAACTCGTCGAGGCTAGTGGTGCACGACTACAGGATTTTTGCAGGCGACTCCGGCTCCTGTGGTTGGAGTCGACTCTTGCTCGACTCCCAAAACAAGCTGAAACGGATGTGCACACACATACAAACTGCCTCATTATTGCAGTCCTACTAGGAAGACTGCATTTGCGCTCTAGAGCAGGGTTTCCCAAACTCAGTCCTGGGGCCCCCCTGGCTGCATGTTTTGATGTTTGCCCTAGCACTACACAGCTGATTCAAATAATCAAAGCAAGATGGTATTTCTGCTGTGCGCAGCCTTGACAGATCTCATGGGAAGATGCCGTGCACTCTACGCTGATAAGCCTATTCTTTGCCATGTTATAGGCCTATTCAGACGGGTATTACTAGAGACGTTGGTTATGTAATTATTATCCAAGCATGAGCGTTATTCCAGAGGAATAGCGCACATGTTATGTAATTATTCTTTCAAATTTAATTTACTCTTATGACAGAAGCCTGGAGGTTTTATTCTAGGCATGAAGATATTTCAAAGTCATATCTAAAAAATAAAAGGCTACATTGATAACTCGTGCTTGGCTGCCAAATGTATAGGCGTCCCCATAATATTTAAAGTGAACTTGCGGGGATGCCCTGCTTTGCATTCTATTGCCTAGGACAGGGCTCTACAACCCTGTTTGTGGAGAGCTACCATCCTGTAGGTTTTCACTCCAACCCTAATCTAGCGCATCTGATTCAATAATTAGCTGGTTGATCAACTGAATCAGGTTATTTACAACTGGGGTTGGAGCGAAGACCTACATGAAGGTAGCTCTCCAGGAACAGGGTTGGAGAGCCCTGACCTAGGACATCAACAGCCAGCCAGGGTTTCATTAAATAAGTTATAGGCACAATACCTTTTATTGCATTTGGCGATGTTCAACTTCAAATCACTGGCACTATAAGGAAAAGCTATACTCATTGATAGCCTAATATATACTTTCAGTGAATTTATGAGGCATTGCGAGATACAGATTACCAAGATATAGCCTATGCGCATGGTTCCGACTGTCTGCCTGCCCCGATTCTCTCTTTCCCTGCCTGACTCGCCTGCTCTTTCTCTTCGCTATGAAAAACATTAGCGTATGTCTGGTCTTCGGTCTGTTGCGTGTAGAATAGCTCAGCCTACTCATTGATAGCCCCTACTTTAGTGAACTTGCATGAGACATTGCAAGCCAAGAAATTGAGAGATACAGCATTGCGAAAGCCTATACTGTCGTGTATTGATGTGACATACTGATATATGACGTCAGTAAAGGAATGTGGGGCTTGTTACACGGACAGTGATTGTCAGGATGTCAGTGTAATGCGGTAGGACGAAGTCAGGCGCAGGACACAGAGCTAATCGAAAACGTACTTTACTCGTAGGTAACGTCAAATAACATAACCTCCATGCAGGGAGGAAACACACCGGCTCACCAGACGACAACCAAACATGAACAAACACGCACAACATACAGTGGAAGCCAAAGGGTTAAATAGGGCAGTGATCAATGATAATGGGAAACAGGTGTGAACAATCAAGACAAGACAAGTAGAACACCGAAACATAGATCGGTAGCAGCTAGTACTCCGGTGACGACGAACGCCGAAGCCTGCCCCCCCACCCCCCTTGACAGCCAGGAGGACGCGGCGCAGGGCGAGTCGGACGACGACGGTGGAAATCCCTCAACATGGAGGGATCGAGGATGTCCCTTCTAGGGACCCAGCACCGTTCCTCCGGACCGTACCCCTCCCACTCCACGAGATACTGCAGGCCCCCCACCCGACGCCTCGAATCCAGGATGGAACAGACCGAGTACGCCGGTGCCCCCTCGATGTCCAGTGGGGGCGGAGGAACCTCCCGTACCTCAGACTCCTGGAGTGGACCAGCTACCACCGGCCTGAGGAGAGACACGTGGAACGAGGGGTTAATACTGTAATTCAGAGGAAGCTGTAACCTATAACAAACCTCCTCAGGACTTTAAATGGCCCCACAAACCGCCGACCCAGCTTCCGGCAGGGTAGGCGAAGGGGCAGGTTTCGGGTCGAGAGTCAGACCCGGTCCCCCGGTGCATACACCGGGGCCTCACTGCGGTGGCGGTCGGCGCTCGCCTTTTGTCGCCTGATGGCCCGCTGCAGGCCTACATGGGCAGCGTTCCAGGTCTCTTCCGAGCGCCGAAACCACTCATCCACCGCAGGAGCCTCGATCTGGCTCTGATGCCAAGGTGCCAGGATGACATGTGAGCCCAATAGATTAATCGATTGCGAACCTCGAGCGGCACGTACATACGACCCTCTGGACACTGGGGGGGGAGTGGGCTCGGTACGTAACGCCTGCTCGATGTCCGCATCAACCTCCCACACCACCGGTGCCACCAGACACGACGCCGGAAGTATGGGAGTGGGCTCAATGGACCTCTCCTCTGTGTCATACAGTCGGGACAGGGCGTCTGCCTTATCGTTCTGGGAACCTGGTCTGTAAGTAAGCGTAAACACAAAACGAGTAAAGAACATGGCCCACCTTGCCTGGTGAGGGTTCAATCTCCTCGCCGCCCGGATGTACTCCAGATTGCGATGGTCAGTCAAAATGAGAAAAGGGTGTTTAGCCCCTTCAAGCCAATGCCTCCACACTTTCAGGGCCTGGACCACAGCTAACAGCTCCCGGTCCCCCACATCATAGTTGCGCTCCGCCGGACTGAGCTTCTTAGAAAAGAAAGCACAGGGGCGGAGCTTTGGTGGCGTAACCGAGCGCTGAGACAGTACAGCTCCTATCCCAGCCTCGGACGTGTCCACCTCAACCTGGAATGCTAAGGAGGTATCTGAATGAGCCAGTACTGGAGCCGAGGTAAACAGGTCCTTCAGATGACCAAAAGCCCTGTCCGCTCAGCTGACCACTGCAGTCGCACCGGTCCCCCCTTCAGCAAGGAAGTAATGGGAGCCGCTACCTGACCAAAGCCCCGGATAAACCTCCGGTAGTAGTTGGCAAAACCCAAAAATTGCTGCACCTCCTTCAACGTGGTTGGAGTAGGCCAATTACGCACGGCCGAAATGCGGTCAATCTCCATCTCCACCCCTGACGCAGACAGGCGGTGCCCTAGGAAGGAGATGGACTCTTGGAAGAACAGACATTTCTCTGCCTTTACATACAGGTCATGCTCCAACAGTTGACCAAGCACTTTACGCACCAGGGACACACCGTGTAGCGGAGTATATGAGAATGTCATCAATATACACCACTACACCCTGTCCGTGCAGGTCCCTGAAAATCTCACTAACAAATGATTGGAAGACTGATGGAGCATTCATCAACCCGTATGGCATGATGAGGTACTCATAATGCCCAGAGGTGGTACTGAATGCTGTCTTCCACTCATCTCCCTCCCGGATACGCACCAGGTTGTACGCGCTCCTGAGATCCAATTTTGTGAAGAAGCGCGCCCCGTGCAATGACTCCGTCATACTAGCAATGAGCGGTAGTGGATAACTGTACTTGATAGTAATCTGATTGAGACCCCGGTAGTCAATGCACAGGCGTAAACCACCATCCTTCTTCACAAAAAAGAAACTTGAGGAGACAGGTGAAGTGGATGGCCGAATGAATCCCTGCCCCAGAGATTCAGAGACATATGTTTCCATAGCCGCCGTCTCTTCCTGTGACAGGGGATACACGTGACTCTTGGGAAGTGAAATGGCATATTATAAGTGCAGCGCCTACCTGGGACAGATCGGAATATTCGGGGGGAATGTGCATGGTGGAGACCTGGTTTGGACTTTCCACCGTAGTTGCCCCTATGGAAACACCTACACACCTCCCCGAGCACTGACTTGACCATCCCTTGAGAGCCCTCTGTTGCCATGAAATAGTGGGGTCATGAGAGGTTAACCAGGGAAGCCCCAACACCACTGGAAACACAGGAGAATCAATCAGATAGAGACTAATTTTCTCCTCATGACCCCCCTGCGTTTTCATCCAGATTGTAGCTGTGACCTCCCTAATTAGGCCTGACCCTAAAGGGCGACTATCTAAGATGTGTACAGGGAAGGGCACATCTACAGGAACAATAGGAATCCCTAAACTACGAGAAAACTGACGATCAATAAAGTTCCCAGCTGCGCCTGAATCTACGAGCGCCTTATGCTGGGAATGAGGGGAAAACTCTGGAAATACAATATCTATACACATATGCGCAACAGGGAGCTCTGGGTGAGTCGGGTGCCTACTCACCTGAGACGGTCCACCAGTGCTCCGCCTCGACTCCTGAAGGACCCTCCCCAGCACCGACCAGCAGTGTGTCCTCCGCGGCCACAGTTGGTGCAGGAGATGTCCCTCCTTCCGGTCTCCCTAAGTGCAGCACCTCCGAGCTCCATAGGGGTAGGGTCGGAGGTGCTGGGGGATGGAATGGATGGTTCCTGATCCGGACGTCCGCGGGTTGCCAACAGGTTATCCAGCCTGATTAACATGTCCTCCAGTTGGTCCAGGTTAAGGGTGGCGTCCCTGCAGACCAGTTCCCGACGAACATCCTCCCGGAGGCTGCATCTGTAGTGATCGATCAGGGCCCTCTCATTCCATCGTGCGCTGGCAGCCAGAGTCCTGAAGTCCAGGGCAAAGTCCTGTGTGCTCCTCTTCCCCTGTCTGAGGTGGAATAGACGTTCCCGCACCGCTCTCCCCTCCGGTGGATGATCGAATACCGCACAAAAGCGGCGGGTGAAATCCTCATAGCGTACTGACGCTGCGTCTATTCCACCCCACTCGGTGTTGGCCCACTCGAGCGCTCTTCCCGACACACAGGAGATGAGGGCGGACACGCTCTCGTATCCCAAGAGAGACGGGTGGATGGTAGCCAGGTAGAGCTCTACCTGGAGCAGAAAACCCTGGCACCCGGCAGCTGTACCATCGTACGCCCTCGGGAGCGAGAGCCGAATCCCACTGGATCCAGGTGACGAAGGGGTGGACAGCAGTGTGGGTGGTTGTGTAGTTGGAGGAGGTGTAGGACCACCACCTCTCTCCCATCGTTCAATAGTGTTCAACACGCGCTCCATTGCGGTACCGAGAGTCTGGATCATGGTCGCCTGCTGTTGGACACGTTCCTCCATTGATCCGGACAAAATGAATGTACATTGCTGACTCCATATTATGGTGCGTGTTTCTGTCAGGATGTCAGTGTAATGCGGTAGGACGAAGTCAGGCGCAGGACACAGAGCTAATCGAAAACTTACTTTACTCGTAGGTAACGTCAAATAACATAACCTCCACGCAGGGAGGAAACACACCCGCTCACCAGATGACAACCAAACATGAACAAACACGCACAACATACAGTGGAAGCCAGAGGGTTAAATAGGGCAGTGATCAATGATAATGGGAAACAGGTGTGAACAATCAAGACAAGACAAGTAGAACACTCAAACATAGATCGGTAGCAGCTAGTACTCCTGGTGACGACGAACGCCGAAGCCTGCCCGAGCAAGGAGGAGGAGCAGCCTCGGCTGAATCCGTGACAGTGATGGAGTAAAGACATGTTGAAGTTTACCTATGAGTCTGGATGATTTAACTCAGTATAATATCTTAACTTAGCACTAGTTGTAAGTATAAGATTGAACATATACATCTTTTGATTACGGATGCACGGTTCTGACTGACTGCCTGGTGGCCGACATGCCAGGCTATGCCCCTCCCCTCTCTCTCCCTCCCTCGCTAGGTGCTTCTTTCTTTGCTGTAAAAGTTGCGAGAGTTTGCGTTCTCGGAAGTAGCCTACGGCAACTAGCTAGTTTCCTCCATTGCAAAAATACTGACTCTTAGGACTGAAGCTTACACACAGAAATCACCACTAGTCATCAAATAAAATAAAATTTTATTTGTCACATACATGTGTTTAGCAGATGTTATTGCGGGTGTAGCGAAATGCTTGTGCTTCTAGCTCCGACAGTGCAGTAATATCTAACAAGTAATATCTAACAATTTCACAACATATACCCAATACACACAAATCTAGTAAGGAATGGAATTTAAGAAAATATACATATATGGACAAGCAATGACAGAGTGGCATGGACTAAGATACAGTAGAATATTATAGAATAGAATACAGTATATTCATACAGTGAGGGAAAAAAATATTTGATCCCCTGCTGATTTTGTACATTTGCCCACTGACAAAGAAATGATCAGTCTATAATTTTAATGGTAGGTTTATTTGAACACTGAGAGACAGAATAACAACAACAAAAATCCAGAAAGACGCATGTCAAAAATTTTATAAATTGATTTGCATTTTAATGAGGGAAATAAGTATTTGACCCCTCTGCAAAACATGACATAGTACTTGGTGGCAAAACCCTTGTTGGCAATCACAGAGGTCAGATGTTTCTTGTAGTTGGCCACCAGGTTTGCACACATCTCAGGAGGGATTTTGTCCCACTCCTCTTTGCAGATCTTCTCCAAGTCATTAAGGTTTCGAGCCTGACGTTTGGCAACTCGAACCTTCAGCTCCCTCCACAGATGTTCTATGGGTTTAAGGTCTGGAGACTGGCTAGGACACTCCAGGACCTTAATGTGCTTCTTCTTGAGCCACTCCTTTGTTGCCTTGGCCGTGTGTTTTGGGTCATTGTCATGCTGGAATACCCATCCACGACCCATTTTCAATGCCCTGGCTGAGGGAAGGAGGTTCTCACCCAAGATTTCACGGTACATGGCCCCGTCCATCGTCCCTTTGATGCGGTGAAGTTGTCCTATCCCCTTAGCAGAAAAAAACCCCCAAAGCATAATGTTTCCACCTCCATGTTTGACGGTGGGGATGGTGTTCTTGGGGTCATAGGCAGCATTCCTCCTCCTCCAAACACTGCAAGTTGAGTTGATGCCAAAGAGCTCGATTTTGGTCTCAACTGACCACAACACTTTCACCCAGTTCTCCTCTGAATCATTCAGATGTTCATTGGCAAACTTCAGACGGGCATGTATATGTGCTTTCTTGAGCAGGGGGACCTTGCGGGCGCTGCAGGATTTCAGTCCTTCACGGCGTAGTGTGTTACCAATTGTTTTCTTGGTGACTATGGTCCCAGCTGCCTTAAGATCATTGACAAGATCCTCCCGTGTAGTTCTGGGCTGATTCCTCACCGTTCTCATGATCATTGCAACTCCACGAGGTGAGATCTTGCATGGAGCCCCAGGCCGAGGGAGATTGACAGTTCTTTTGTGTTTCTTCCATTTGCGAATAATCGCACCAACTGTTGTCACCTTCTCACCAAGCTGCTTGGCGATGGTCTTGTAGCCCATTCCAGCCTTGTGTAGGTCTACAATCTTGTCCCTGACATCCTTGGAGAGCTCTTTGGTCTTGGCCATGGTGGAGAGTTTGGAATCTGATTGATTGATTGCTTCTGTGGACAGGTGTCTTTTATATAGGTAACAAACTGAGATTAGGAGCACTCCCTTTAAGAGTGTGCTCCTAATCTCAGCTCGTTACCTGTACAAAAGACACCTGGGTGTCACGATCGTCGGGAACAGAGGAGGACCAAGGCGCAGCGTTGAAGACGAACATACTCTTTATTTAGTGATTACACGATCAAAACAACAAAACGATAACGTGACAGTCCACGGTCTAACACAAACCAACTAGAACAAGCTCCCACAACTACTGTGGGAAAACAGCCTGTTTAAATGTGGTTCCCAATCAGAGACAACCAGCCACAGCTGACACTCGTTGCCTCTGATTGAGAACCACACTGGCCAACATAGAAATGAAACAACTAGAACTACAACACAGAAATCTAGACACCCTGGCTCAACATAACAGTGTCCCCAGAGCCAGGGCGTGACAGTACCCCCCCCTAAAGGCGCGGACTCCGACCGCGCCAACCAAATACCACAGGGGAGGGACCGGGTGGGCACTCCACCTAGGCGGCGGATCCGGCTCCGGGCCTGATCCCCGCTCCCTCTCCAACCCCCCAAAGTACCCCTGGTCCGGTCTGGCCCCGCTGGCCGGAGCTGGACTACACACTGGTGGAGCGGATTGCTCTAGCTCCGGCGTGAAGCATCTGACCGGTGCCGGACCAGGCACCGGTGGAACAGGCACGGGACGTGCCGGACTGACGACGCACACCACTGGCTTGGTGTGGGGAACAGGCACGGGCCGTGCCGGACTGACAACGCACACCACTGGCTTGGTGTGAGGAGCAGGAGCGGGCCGGACCGGGCTGGCGACGCGCACCATTGGCTTGGTGCGGGGAGCAGGAACGGGCCCGGACCGGGCTGGCAACGCGCACCATTGGCCTGGTGCGGGGAGCAGGAACAGGCCGGGCCGGGCTGGCGACGCGCACCATAGGCTTGGTGCGGGGAGCAGGAACAGGACGGGCCGAGCTGGCGACGCGCACCATTGGCTTGGTGCGGGGAGCAGGAACAGGACGGGCCGGGCTGGCGACGCGCACCATTGGCTTGGTGCGGGGTGCAGGAGCAGGCCGGGCCGGGCTGGCGACGCGCACCATAGGCTTGGTGCGGGGAGCAGGAGCGGGCCGGACCGGGCTGGAGACTCGCACCATTGGCCTGGTGCGGGGAGCAGGAACAGGCCGGACTGTACTGGGGACACACACCACTGGCCCTACGCAGGGATCTGGAACGGGCCGGACCGGACTGGTAACACACCCCAGTACCTCTCGCCGTGCCTCTACACCTTCCTTCCCCTCTTCGACCAGTGGCCCCCGTAACCTGGCGGCCTCCTCTGCCAACCCGCTGGGCCGCTCTGTCGCGGTCTCCTGCTGCCCCGTCGTCCACGGCGTTAGCCCCCCCCTAAAATTTTTATGGGCTTCACTCCTACCCGTGGACCAGGTCTCCATACTTCTCGCCAGCCTTTCGCACTTCTGCTTCCACGTCAAGCCCCTCTCTTCCTCACCCGGCTTGACCCAGTCGAGGAGGCGCTGGATATCCGCTAGGGATTTCCCTGGCGATGGCTCCTGGACCCGCTGCTTGGTCCAGTTCTGGTGGGATCTTCTGTCACGATCGTCGGGAACAGAGGAGGACCAAGGCGCAGCGTTGAAGACGAACATACTCTTTATTTAGTGATTACACGATCAAAACAACAAAACGATAACGTGACAGTCCAAGGTCTAACACAAACCAACTAGAACAAGATCCCACAACTACTGTGGGAAAACAGCCTGTTTAAATGTGGTTCCCAATCAGAGACAACCAGCCACAGCTGACACTCGTTGCCTCTGATTGAGAACCACACTGGCAAACATAGAAATGAAACAACTAGAACTACAACACAGAAATCTACACACCCTGGCTCAACATAACAGTGTCCCCAGAGCCAGGGCGTGACACTGGGAGCCAGAAATCTTTCTGATTGAGAGGGGGTCAAATACTTATTTCCCTCATTAAAATGCAAATCAATTTATAAAGTTTTTGACATGCGTTTTTCTGGATTTTTTTGTTGTTATTCTGTTTCTCACTGTTCAAATAAACCTACCATTAAAATTATAGACTGATAATTTCTTTGTCAGTGGGCAAACGTACAAAATCAGCAGGGGATCAAATACTTTTTTCCCTCACTGTATGAGATGAGTAGTGCAAGATATGTAAACAGTTTTAAAGTGACTAGTATTCCATATCTTAAAGTGGCCAGTGATTTCAAGTCTATGTATATAGGGCAGCAGCCTCTAATGTGCTAGTGATGGCAATTTAACAGTCTGATGGCCTTGAGATAGAAGCTGTTTTTCATTCTCTCGGTCCCAGCTTTGATGCACCTGTACTGACCTCACCTTCTGGATGATAGCGGGGTGAACAGGCAGTGGCTCGGGTGGTTGATGTCCTTCATGATCTTTTTGGCCTTCCTGTGACATCGGGTGCTGTAGGTGTCTTGGAGGGCGGATAGTTTGCCCCCGGACCGCAACACCCTCTGGAGAGCCCTGCAGTTGCGGGCGGTGCAGTTGCCGTACCAGACGGTTATACAGCCCGACAGGATGCTCTCAATTGTGCATCTGTAAAAGTTTGTGAGGGTTTTAGGTGCCAAGCCAAATTTCTTCAGCCTCCTGAGGTTGAAGAGGCTCTGTTGCGCCTTCTTCACCACACTGTCATTCAATAATTTCCATAACGTCTAGCCCCTCTTGATTATCCCTTACATAATATATGCCATTTAGCAGATGCTTTTATCCAAAGCGACTTACAGTCATGCATATATTTTACGTATGTCCCGGGAATCGAACCAACTATCCTGGCGTTGCAAGCGCCATGCTCTACCATCTGAGCTACAGAAGACCACCTACAGAGTGCCACCTACACTCCACCATCTTTATCATCACCCTACTGTGTGTCATCTCTACTCAGGACACTATTCTCACCCTGGAGGCTCTGACCGAGTACAGCAAATTGGTCAAACATGCCAAGCTGGATCTGATGATCGAGGCGTCCTACATAAAGACGAGGGAACAACTGGGGATAATCGAGCTCACCCAGAAAAAACCTGTGGGCAAACCAATAGAGGTAAGGGCTTACCTCCACCCTCACAGGCTGTGTGACCCTAAATGTACACACTGCCTGTAAAATGACCACTTCTGCTCAACAAGACCATCTTTTCATTGGGTTTTCCTGTGACAATGATATTTGCAGTATAACCTGATCACGATCTCAATCATTTATGTACTGACGTAGTGTATCCAGCCTCTACCCCTAGGGCACATTTCATACTGATCTTTGCTAAATGAACCCTGAAGTTGCAGTACAGACTATTTTATATCTCTCGTGTGCTGTGTTTGTGTGTTTCCTCTCTATTTTCTGTCTCCCATCTAATTCATGATTATTTGGTCCTACTGTGTCTCATTTTAACAGGTGTTTGAGGATAAAGCTGTCAAAGTGTCCACAGGCTTTGGTTCAGGATATTCCCATGTCCAGGTAAGTTCCATCCATCCTCTGTTGCGTTAAGCAACTTCTGTTTAGAAGGAAATTGAGTATCTCTTAAAGTATTCTTTCGTGCTCACATTAAAGAGGCAATCTGTAATTGATACATAAAAAAAAAAAATACTTTTAAGTAATGATATACATATACCTAATAATTCTTAAAGAATGTATTTTATGCCTCATGAGCTTAGTTCAACTGTCATACCCCATTGTTGTTTCACCTCCAGATAGCCCCTTTAAACAGTATGCTCAATTCTTATCTGACAACAGATGAAAACCGTTTATTATAAAACAACACAGAACCACAAAAACTGCAAATTTGACATTTCCATTCAACTGCTTCGTCCTGACAAAAAGTCAAAAGGTATGACAGTGTATCAATGTCTGTTAACTTACTACAACCATTTCTCTCACAATAAACATGGAACCAAATATACAGTACCAGTCAAAAGTTTGGACACACCTACTCATTCAAGGGTTTTTTCTTTATTTTTACTATTTCCTACATTGTAGAATAATAGTGAAGGCATCAAAACTATGAAATAACACATATGGAATCATGTAGTAACTACAAAAGTGTTAAACAAATATTGTATATTTGAGATTCTTCAAAGTAGCCACCCTTTGCCTTGATGACAGCTTTGCACGCTCTTGGCATTCTCTCAACCAGCTTCATGAGGAATGCTTTTCCAACAGTCTTTAAGGAGTTCCCACATATGCTGAGACCTTGTTGGCTGCTTTTCCTTCACTCTGCGGAACAACTCATCCCAAATAATCTCAATTGGGTTGAGGTCGGGTGATTGTGGAGGCCAGGTCATCTGATGCAGCACTCCATCACTCTCCTTCTTGGTCAAATAGCCCTTACACAGCCTGGAGGTGCGTTTTGGGTCATTGTCCTGTTGAAAAACAAATTATAGTCCCACTAAGCGCAAACCAGATGGGATGGCGTATTGCTGCAGAATGTTGTGGTAGCCATGCTGGTTAAGTGTGCCTTGAAATCTAAATAAATCACTGACAGTGTCACCATCAAAGCACCCCCACACCATCACACCTCCTCCTCCATGCTTCACGGTGGGAACCACACATGCGGAGATCATCCATTCACCTATTCTCACAAAGACACAACGGTTGGAACCACAAGTCATCAGACCAAAGGACAGATTTCCACAAGTCTAATGTCCATTGCTCGTGTTTCTTGGCCCAAGCAAGTCTCTTCTTATTATTGGTGTCCTTTAGTAGTGGTTTCTTTGCAGCAATTCGACCATGGAGGCCTGATTCACGCAGTCCCCTCTGAACAGTTGATGTTGAGATGTGTCTGTAACTTGAACTCTGTGAAGCATTTATTTGGGCTGCAATCTGAGGTGCAGTTAACTCTAATGAACTTATCCTCTGCAGCAAAGATAACTCTGGGTCTTCCTTTCCTGTGGCGGCCCTCATGAGAACCAGTTTTATCATAGTGCTTGATGGTTTTTGCAACTGCAGTTGAAGAAACTTTCAAAGTTCTTGAAATGTTCCGTATTGACTGACCTTCATGTCTTAAAGTAATGATGGACTGTTGTTTCTCTTCGCTTATTTGAGCTGTTCTTGCCATAATATGGACTTGGTCTTTTACCAAATAGGGCTATCTTCTGTATACCACCCCTACCTTGTCACAACACAACTGATTGGCTCAAATGCATTAAGAAGGAAAGAAATTCCGCAAATTAACTTTTAACAAGGCACACCTGTTAATTGAAATGCATTCCAGGTGACTACCTCATGAAGCTGGTTGAGAGAATGCGAAGAGTGTGCAAAGCTGTCATCAAGGCAAAGAGTGGCTACTTTGAAGAATATCAAATCAATATCTTGATTTGTTTAAAATGTTTTTGGTTACTACATGATTCCATATATGTTATTTCATAGTTTTGATGTCTTCACTATTATTCTACAATGTAAAAAATAGTAAAAATAAAGAAAAACCCTGGAATGAGTAGGTGTGTCCAAACTTTGGACTGGTACTGTAGCTTTAATTTCTACTTCACCAGATACTATGCTGCATTCCTCTCGAATTGTTGCATGTGCAAAGTGAGTAAAATATTTTGTTTTTCGTTTATTAATGTCATTAAAATACAAAGAAATCCTAATGCTATCTCGACCACTGTAAAGATAATGTGTATTTCTGTATAGTAAAATATACTTTATAGAACAGTGCATATATTGTCTCATATGTTTTAAAGATACAAACCCCCTCCAAATGAGGTGTTCGCTGAGTCTAGCCACACAGTCATGGAAATCCAACTACCCACTGGGGTGCAACCCTTCCAAGAAGATCTGAATATGGTAATTACATTTCTCCAAAATCTACACTGAAGAAGTGTTGGTCCTATGTTTCATGAGCTGAAATAAAAAATCCCAGAAATGTTCCATATGCACAAAAAACGTATTTCTCTAATATTTTGTGCACAAATTTGTTTACATCCTTGTTAGTGAGCATTTTTCCTTTGCCAAGATAATCCATCCACCTGACAGGTGTGGTATATCAAGAAGGTGTTTAAACAGCATAATCATTACACAGTTGCACCTTGTGCTATGGACAATAAAAGGCCACTCTAAAATGTGCAGTTTTGTCATACAACACAATGCCACAGACGTCTGAAGTTTTGAGGGAGCGTGCAATTGGCATGCTGACTGCAGGATTGTCCACCAGAGCTGTTGCCAGAGAATTAAATGTTAATTTCTCTACCAAAAGCCAATGTCGTTTTAGAGAATTTGGCAGTACGTCCAACCAGCCAAGGACCTCCACATCCGGCTTCTTCACCTGCGGGATCATCTGACACCAGCCAGCTGATGAAACTGTGGGTTTGCACAACCGAATAATTTCTGCACAGATTGTCAGAAAACGTCTCAGGGAAGCTCATCTGCATGCTCGTCGTCCTCACCAGGGTCTTGACCTGACTGCAGTTTGGTGTCGTAACCGCTTACCTTCAATGGCACACTGGAGAAGTGTGCTCTTCACGAATGAATCCCGGTTTCAACTGTACCGGGCAGATGGCAGACAGCATGTATGGTAGCTGGAAGCTGAAAATGTCCCAGTTCTTCCATGGCCTGCATACTCACCAGACATGTCACCCATTCAGCATGTTTGGGATGCTCTGGATCTACGGGTACGACAGCGCGTTCCAGTTCCCGCCAATATCCAGCAACTTTGCACAGACATTAAAGAGGAGTGGGACAACATTCCACAGGCCACAATCAACAGCCTGATCAACTCTATGTGAAGGAGATGTGTCGCGCTGCATGAGGGAAATGGTGGTCACACCAGATACTGACTGGTTTTCTGATCCACGCCCCTACCTTTTTTAAAGATATCTGTGACTAACAGATGCATATCTGTATTCCCAGTCATGTGAAATCCATAGATTAGGGCCTAATGAATTTATTTCAATTGAGTGATTTCCTTATGAACTGTAACTCAGTAAAATCTTTGAAATTGTTGCATGTTGCATTTATATTTTTGTTCAGTTTATTTGTACACTGTTCCACATGAATGACATAGCCTGTGATCAATTCCCTCACAGTTTCGGGATGGACTGGAATCTGTGATATCTGACTACAAGATCACAGAAGACAAGGTTGTGCTTCAGCTGGACTCAGTAAGTACCACTTATCTTCTCTTCTGCTTTTGGAACATTTTGGTTTAAGTGTGGACATTCAAATCAATCATATAATGTAGTCCTATACTGTAGTTCAAATGAGTCCTATTATGTAGCACTATACTGTAGTATAAGTTAGTCCTATTCTGTAGTTCAAATGAGTCAGTTACTGTTAACACTGTCATTGCCTTTCACACTACAGGTCCCCGTGGATGAATTCGTCTGTGTGGGATTCCGTATAAAAGAACTATTTCGAGTTGGCATGGTCAGTGCCTCCTTGTTTAAAGTCTACGAGTACAATGATCCAGGTACAGTACGGCCGAAAACAAAACCCACAGAAACGAATATACCACAGGAAGTTTGACCAATCCTTCTCTATTGCTCAACAGAGAGCCAATGTTTCAAGCTCTACTCCCCGGCTATAGAAACCAAGCTACTGCGGCTTTGTGTAGAGGAACAGTGCCACTGCATGGCAGGTAAGTCATATGGGCTCAGGGGACAGTGGTGGTTGCAAGGAAATTATAAGCATGGAGGATGTATGGAGGGTGGAACATGAGTGGGTTTGGAGAAAGCTGGTTGGTCATTTAATCAAGTTAATGTGAATTATGGGAGAATATTTTGTTTGTTTTTATTTGTGACTGCAATCTGTTGCGGTGATGTTTAGCGGAATGCTGCAACTTCAAATCAGAGATGGATCCCAGCACCACTGCTGAGGAAAGAAAACAAGCTACCTGCAGTGACAATATAAAATATGGTAAGATGATACTTTGTTAGAACTGTTATCACCTCATCAGTAAAAATAGTCTCCAATGCCCAACTGATTTTTTAAAGAAATGTCACATTTGTAGGCAGTCTTTTTGGTATGATGAGCATATTCTATTTGTTTGGTTTAGGAGGCCTTGCATATGATATGTTTGCGTCTTTTCTCACAGCTTTCAAGGTAAAAATCAAATCCATTGTGGAAGAAGGTGATTTTATTACTTATATGGCAAACGTGGAGGATCCCTTCAAAAGGGGTAAGTCTATCTCCTATAATAACTTTTTAAAGTGATGTAAAAAATATATATATATTTACAATTGTATGATACGTTTAACTTTATTCCTGTTTTGTGTAAATGGCAGTGTTGGACAATGTCAATATCAACACAGAGGTGGAATTTGTCAAAAAGGCCAGTTGCAGTTCTGTGGATATGAAGATTGGTGGGCAGTACCTGATCATGGGTGCGGACAGCATGCAAATACGAGTTGGCAGAAGTTATAAGTGAGTGTGTGTGCATATGTCTTTATTTTAGATGACAAAAAAATGTATAAAACTAGGCTACTGACAATATACTGTTGCACTATAACCACGTCTTTTTTGATTCAGGTCTGACCCTAACCTTATGTTTCAGGTATAGATACCCTTTGGATTCCCAGGCTACAGTTGAGATGTGGCCAACTGAATGTAAGGAAAGTCCCGCCTGCACTAAATATGTAAACATTCTGAATGATTATGCAGAACGTTTTCTATTTGAAGGCTGTTAAAGGGGCACTTCACCCTTTTTCAACATCAAATTCATCATCTCCAGCACCATGCCAAAAAAACGGCAGATTTCTATGTTCAGGAGACACTGATGACATCATCTGGTGTGCATCAAGTGTCAACTATGAGCAGGCAAAGGTTACTTTATAACGCTTTAGACACATTTAGCCATTATTTGTTTATAGCAGCTAAATCGAAAAGGAAACAGCAAGACACTAACTCAAGAAGACACAACATAATTTTACGATATGGTGTTTTTAGGATTATTGTGAATACATAAAAGGTGCCATAGGTCTCATTTATTTTGTACAAATTACAAATAAACAGATGATAAGCCTCCTGTAGCTCAGTTGGTAGAGCATGGCGCTTGCAACGCCAGGGTTGTGGGTTCGATTCCCATGGGGGGCCAGTATGAAAAATGTATGCACTCACTAACTGTAAGTCGCTCTGGATAAGAGCATCTGCTAAATGACTAAAATGTAAAATGATATTGATTCTCTGTGTGTGTGTGTCAGTTGTGGTGTGTGGGTAACATCATCAAGGATGCCAGGAAAAAAATACATATTACAACCTATGTGTTGTGATAATTGCGTTGTTTGCTCTATAACCTGTTAGTGCATATGCCATGACACCGAGATATAGGCCTGAGGCCGAGACAATAAGAAGACACAGTAGCTACATGTTGAACTTTATCCTGTCAGGCCAGGAGCACAATATTTGAATTTATGGTTGGATCAGTACGGTTGGCCAGTACGGAGAATTAAGTAAAACCACAAGCCCAAATCCCTATCTCCATCCATGGCTAATTTAGGAAAGGGATGATTTTAGTAAGTTAGCTAGCCACCGGAGGACAACGACACAACGAGATGCAAAAATGCAGGTTTTCTGTCAATGACGTTTGGCTTCTGATGTGATGTGATTGGTGTGAAGCCAAATCCAAACTGGTATCCCTTGACACTTTTTTTTAGTGTGCCAGGACTATTCAAAGCTGAGCTCACTCAGTTTAGCTCAACGCTGATTGGCTATAAAAAAATATACATATTATCAAGGGAGGCCAAATGCTCGATGGCTTCCTGTCACTGGTGTAGAGAGGAGTAGGCAGGAGGCAGTCGCAAGTTTAGAACTACTGAATTTATTTAAGCACCATAGATCAAAGCGGCAAGAAACCCAAACGCTGTTGTGCTCAAAGTATATCTTCATAAACAAAAGGCGAACCCAAAGTGCAAAATATAAAGTACTCAGGAAATAGTAGGAGCGATTCCGCTCAGGAAAACAAGTAACATTTACAATGACCGACAAAGACAAATATATATGAAATAAAACTCCTATATCGACATAACCTGAAAGGCCGCTCAGCAAGGAAGAAGCCACTGCTCCAAAACTGCCATAAAAAAGCCAGACTACGGTTTGCAACAAAGATCGTACTTTTTGGAGAAATGTCCTCTGGTCTGGTGACACAAAAATAGAACTGTTTGGCCATAATGACCATCGTTATGTTTGGAGGAAAAAGGGGGTACTTGCAAGCCGAAGAACACCATCCCAACCGTGAAGCACGGGGGTGGCAGCATCATGATGTGGGGGTGCTTTGCTGCAGGAGTGACTGGTGCATTTCACAAAATAGATGGCATCATGAGGAAGAACAATTATGTGGATATATTGAAGCAACATCTCAAGACATCAGTCAGGAAGTTAAAGCTTGGTCGCAAATGTGTCTTCCAAATGGACAATGACCCCAAGCATACTTCCAAAGTTGTGGCAAAATGGCTTAAGGACAACAAAGTCAAGGTATTGGAGTGGCAATCACAAAGCCCTGACCTCAATCCTATAGAAAATGTGTGGGCAGAACTGAAAAAGCGTGTGCGAGCAAGGAGGCCTACAAACCTGACTCAGTTACACCAGCTCTGTCAGGAGGAATGGGCCAAAATTCACCCAACTTATTGTGGGAAGCTTGTGGAAGGCTACCCGAAACATTTGACCCAAGTTAAACAATTTAAAGGCAATGCTACAAAATAATAATTGAGTGTATGTAAACTTCTAACCCACTGGGAAATAAAAGGAAAGGGATGATAAAGGAAAGGGATGATAAAAGCTCAATTGGTAGAGCATGGCGCTTGTAACGCCAGGGTAGTGGGTTCGATCCCCGGGACCACCCATACGTAAAAATGTATGCGCACATGACTGTAAGTCGCTTTGGATAAAAGCGTCTGCTAAATGGCATATTATTATATTATAAATAAATAATTCTCTCTACTATTATTCTGACATTTCACATTCTTAAAAGAAAGTGGTGATCCTAACTGACCTAAGACAGGGAATTTTTACTAGGATTAAATGTCAGGAATTGTGAAAAACTCCAGATGTGAACCCACACTTTCAATTGATCAATTTTAGGTAATAAGCTTCTAGTTTTAACGTGCAGAAAGCCCAGGCTTTTACGAGAGCCGAAATCAGTGAAACAGATATCAGAGCACAAGTCAGAATTGGGGCTAGCAACAGTAGATTGGCCAGGGTGTACATGCACATTTCCAGACATCATCAGCAGTAATACAATCAGGGCATGGCAGAGGACAGGGAGAGCTCTGCAGTGTTAATTTTTTATGACATTTGAATGTGCATCAGATGGCAACAAGATCATATTGTACAGCAATTTCATCAGGTAACATGAATACAAAGCCCGCGAGAGAGGGTTAGAATAGGATGGGAGGCCAAGAGTCTGTGTAACCAATAGAGAGTCAGAGTCTTGAGTGTGGGAACAAACAGTCTGTCCCACGGTTGGGTAAACAAGCAAGTTCAGAGTCAACAAAGCACGCAGGAGTCATGAGGCAAATAGTATAAAGCACAAGAAACAAAAATAACGACTTGGGGCTAGCCATTGTAAGTTCAAAGAGTCACTCGCCCCAACAAAATAACTTGAGTAGCTCTCTATGGGTCCAGTAGGCTAGAAAAGTACGAGATCAAATAAATAAATAGTAGGCCTATACTAGTTAATTAAAGCGTTTCTGAGTAAGCGCACATAAAAAGCTTCACAAGTTAATTAACCTACCTAAAATTCAGATCAGTCCAAAGCCTGCGGTGTGTGTGTAAGTGCGTGTGTGCTGGAGGCGAGCGAAAGCTCGGGAGAGAGGGGGGAGTGTTGCGGGGGTACCTGTACCAGACAGGGGGAGACAGGCCAGGGCAGACGGTGAACAGATCGCCAGGTGGAATCCAAGCAGCAGTGCAGCAGGCAACGGGAGTAGGTGTCACAACAGCTTGGGAGAAGCTTTATTCGGGAGGAAGATTCCTTGTAGAAAATCCCAGCTAGCTAGCTAACGTAGCTAGCAAGTCTCTGTCCACCCTTTTTTTTCACGTGTAAAAGGAGGTCGTTAGCTAGCTATATCTCTTCAGTTTCGGCGAATGGTCCTTTACAATGTCCAAACAAAGTTGTCCTGTGGCTGTATTTTGGAGATTGCGAGGAGGATATCTTCTGATGTGATCAAAGCAACAATATTGTTTCTTATTGAGGTAATTTATAATTGAAGTGTCCTGGCTGCATATCAGTTCAAACTAGAGATGAATCCAGGGGGTACTGTATTTCTAACACTATTCATACATTATTTTACACAAAGCAATCATCAACATATCTATGTGATGGTTGTAACAGAGGAAAAAAATCTATAAGAGATGAAAAAGCAAGAGAAAATCAACAGAATGCTAATTCACAGTAATGAAAATTATATAATACAAGATGAACAATAATGCAGATAGGACAATAAATAATAGAATAATAGAACAATATAATTTAAACGATTGATTCATTGTATATCTAACAGTTGTGTTTATTGTAAATGCAGCCAAAGTACTCCCACCTCATAAAGTATTTCCACCTCAGTAGTCCAAAATAAATAAATAAAAGATATTGTTTGATAGAATCTGATTAGAGTCTGGGACAAACTGACCATATGCATAGGTCATATCATTATTATTTGAACGACACTAACATTTATATATTGAATAGGCCAGTAGGACACTTTATGCTTAAATGTAATACATTTTCAAATTAATTTATTTTATTTAATTGTTTATTTTTATTTTGTATACTTTATTTATTCAGGTGAGTCCCATTGAGGTATTCATATATTTTTCAAGGCCTCGAATATTCAAGGTATAAGCCGTTTTTGTATGATATCTACTAACCTATGGAATTTTTAAACGATAGTAATAAAATGGACCATCTAGCTATTTGATATTTGGTTTGTATTTTAGGACCACTTTAGGTACAGTGGGGAAAAAAAGTATTTAGTCAGCCACCAATTGTGCAAGTTCTCCCACTTAAAAAGATGAGAGAGGCCTGTAATTTTCATCATAGGTACACGTCAACTATGACAGACAAATTGAGAAAAAAAAATCCAGAAAATCACATTGTAGGATTTTTTATGAATTTATTTGCAAATTATGGTGGAAAATAAGTATTTGGTCACCTACAAACAAGCAAGATTTCTGGCTCTCACAGACCTGTAACTTCTTCTTTAAGAGGCTCCTCTGTCCTCCACTCGTTACCTGTATTAATGGCACCTGTTTGAACTTGTTATCAGTATAAAAGACACCTGTCCACAACCTCAAACAGTCACACTCCAAACTCCACTATGGCCAAGACCAAAGAGCTGTCAAAGGACACCAGAAACAAAATTGTAGACCTGCACCAGGCTGGGAAGACTGAATCTGCAATAGGTAAGCAGCTTGGTTTGAAGAAATCAACTGTGGGAG